TCTCTGGAATTGACTCAAGAGTGGGCCTAGTGAGGCAAACTCTCTCCCTGTTACAAGAACAAGCTGAATTTCCCTTGTATGAACAGGACTATCTTGTACCAGCAGAACTATCATGTCCTGATGCGCATAGTTGCCATTTACAATCCAGAGGTCAAGTTATAGATGTCAACTCCTGAAACCAGCCTAGCATTACCACCAAGCCTATAAGGAGCAAAGAGAAGACTGAGCTGTGGCAGAGAAGGGAGATATGGAGGACGCTCTGGCTCTACGGGCAAGTCAGCTCGGAAGACTTAGTCAGGGGTGAGGAATCGAAACTTCACAGAACAAATATCCTTAATAAAAGGATTTGTTCTATAAAACTTGGACTCGGTCAATAGGCTGCACCGAGGACCTAGAAGGCCACCTGTGGGCTTGAGGCCAAGGTTCCCCACCCCTGGCCTAGGCTGAGGTAAGTAGCCAGAAAAGGTCAGCTGTTTCTTCTGTGTTCTCTCTAGATACTTATCTATCCACAAATCTGCTGTTTTGTTACCCAAACAATTCCAGTAAAATTTGCCTTTGACACAAAGAGGCCAGGAGTTAACTAGAGACAGATTTAAATGTAAATGTTAGGCAGAGTGCTCAATCTGACTAGGTGTTAAGAACAGTCAGCATTTATTAAGGGCTTAACACCTGCCAAGTAAGCATTAGTCAGTGAAAATACAAATAAAGCAGAAAGACAGTCCCTTCCAGGAAGCTCAAGGAATTCACATTTAAAAAAAAAATAATACTTTATTTTCCCCAATTCTAACATTCCCAATGTAAAAACAATTTTTAACATTCTTTTTTTTTAAAGTTTTGAGTTCTAGTTCTATCCCTTCCTCCCTCCCCTCCACCCTCCTGCAATCTGATATAGGTTATATATCTGCAGTCATGTAAAACATTTCCATATTAGCCATTTTGTGCAAGAAGGCTTAGAAGGAAAGGGAAGGAGGAAGGAAGGGAGAAAGAGAAAGAAAAATAATACGCTTCAGTCAATATGCAGATATCAGTCTTTCTCTTTCCCACTTAACAGTATTTTATTTTTTTCCAATTACACGTAAAGATGATTTTCAGTATTCACTTTTATAAGATTTTGAGTTCTAAATTTTTTTTCTCCCTTCCTGTCTCCCCTCCCCCCTCCCCAAGACAGCAAGCCATCTGATATAGGCTATATATATGTTGCCGTTTGGAGTGCTGGGAACCTTGAAATGTAAGGATACAGGGTAAGTCTGCCTAGAAAGAATTTGAGCCCTCAAGACTTCTTTCAGTCAAGGGAGCAGTATATTGTAACTCCAATAAGGAAAAGGCAGAATTCCTAGTGAATCTGCAATTTAATGGGGGTTAGACTAATATTTATGTGCAAAAAAAAGACAGTGAGAAGATCTGGATGGGATTAAGGAGTGATAAATAGCCTGGGCTGGGCCAAATACAGACAATGAAAGGAGTTAAATGGTCTAGGTTGATCAGAGAGCCACAGTGAAAGGGCTATTGAGTATCTAGGTGGGCTGAGATGGGCCTGATGGTAGTGGGGAGAGGGGACTGGGTTGTGTGGGAAAATCCAGACACTGAGTTCTTTCAAAGCATGGTCTTTTCCTTTTAGGGGTCCAAGTCCCATCACCCCATCACATGTACAATCATATGAAACTTATTTCCACATTAGTCATGTTGTGAAAGAAGAATCAGAACAAAAGGGAAAAACCACAAAAAAGGAAAAAACAAAAACAAAAAAAGAGAAAATAGTATGTTTCAATCTGCATTCAGACTCCTTAGTTCTTTCTCTGGATGCCAGTAGCATTCTTCATCATGAGTACTTTGTGATTATCTTGGATCATTGTATTGCTGAGCATAGCTAAGTCATTCGTAGCTCTTCATCATATAATATTGTTACTGTGTACAATATTCTCCTGGTTCTGCTCACTTCAATCTGTATCCAGGAACTTACGTTCTAACAGGGGAGACAATATGCAAAAAGGAGCTGAAAGACATGGGGATGGAAAACATGCCAGGATGGGGGCATAGCAACAAAAGTCCTGTGGAAATGAGTCGGCAGTACAGTCCAGGGAGGGGTGAAGACATCTTTGGCCTTGGTCTTCTCCTTCCATTAGAAGTTCTAGGAGGAACCAATCAACCTGTACACTTCTTAAACTTAACCTGTCCAAAACAGAACTCAGTATCTTTCCCCCTAAACCCTCCCCAGCTCCTACCTTCCCTATTACTGTAGATGGCAACACCATCCTCCAAATTCCTCAGGCTTGAGAGAAATGATTATTAATAACCAATGATTTGGAGAGATCCAGGGGCGGGCAGAGCCACAGTGGCAGAGTGAAAGCAGTGACTTGCTTAAGCTCTCCCCCAAACCCCTCCAAATACTCATAAAAAATGGCTCTAAACAAATTCTGAAGCAGCAGAACCCACAAAAAGACAGAGTGAAACAAATTTCCTGCCCAAGACAACCTGGATGATTGATCAGAAAGGTGTATCGCAACCGGGCTAGGAGCGCAGCGCAGCGTGGGCACGCAGGCCGCAACAAACCTGGGAGCAGGCCTTAGAGGACTGAATCACCGGCAGCTGTGGAGGTTTCCAGACTCCTCAACCCACGAATGCCAAAGACAACTTAGAAGGTCAGTGGGAAAAGTCTCTTTTGGTGCTGAGAAAGGAAGGCGGGGTCTCAGCTTCATTCCCCAAGAGCGTGGTCCTCTAGGGGGCAGCTGCTTCCTGAGCTTCCCACCCACAGATTGAATGGGAATCCAGTGGATGATCAGAGAGGGACTGCAGGGATCTCTTTGCCAGTGCTGAGGCAGGAATCTCTTGCTTTGCCTGTGTGTGGATCTGGGTCACAGTTCTGGGCGGCGGTGCTGGGGTGAGGAGGAGTGCTGGCATGGTGGAGCTTGGAGTGGCTGTGGAGAGAAACCCCTCCTCACAGTTACGGGACAGAAAGGAATACTTGTGGTCACAGGCCAGGAAAGGAGTAAACACCTCACCCCTTATCATACCACCTTGGAAGAACTGAAAATTTACAGGTCCCTACAAGTATCTCTGAAAACAGCTATACAAACCCCTGAAGCTTGGGGACAGTACATTCTCCACATTGGAAGCAGACTCTTACCTTAACAAACAGTTTAAAACTCAAGTAATTGGCTGGGATCATGAGCAAGCAGCGCAAAAAGAGTCAGACTATATTATTTTACTTTGGTGACAAAGAAGATCAAAATATACAACCAGAAGAAGACAACAAAGTCAAGGCTCCTACATCCAAAGCCTCCAAGAAAAATATGAATCAGTCCCAGGCCTTGGAAGAGCTCAAAAGGGATGTTGAGAGATCCAGAGTTCCTCCCTTTCTCTATAGCCCATAGACTATATACACATAATACAAGTTTATTAGAATAGGTCCAGCCCCTAATTATAATATTCATTCTCTTTTTATTAGCCAATTGGAGTTGATTGCCATCCTCAGGAACACCTCTCTTCCAAAGGTATATTAGCTGTGACCCCACCACCATGAGGGGTCTTTGGCATTTGAGAGTGCCACTAACCTTTTATTAAAATGCTGGCATTATTAATAAAATGACTAATTACCAAGAAATTATCTCTTGAATTTTTTAAATGTCACAGGCTCAAAGTTTAGGATTTATCCTAGACTCCTCACTATCTCTTACCTCCCATATCCAAGCTGTTGCCAAGGTCTTTGGATTTCATTTCTGCAACATCTCTTGTATACACCCCTCTTCTCTCTGCTGACCTTACCAACATTCTAGTATAAGTCCTCATCACTTCACATCTCGGCTGTTGCAACAGCTTGCTGGAGGGTGTCTGCCTCCCAAGCCCTCCCACTCCAATCCATCCTCTGTTCACCCACTGAAGTGATTTTCCTAAAGCAGAAGTCTGACCTTTTCATTCTTCTGCTCAGCAAACTGTGGTGGTTCCCAATGACCTTCAGGATCAAATACAAAATCCTGTTTGGTGTTCAAAGTAATTCATAACCTTCTCCTGCACCCCTACCTTTCCAATCTTCTTACACATTACTCCTCACCACATACTCTTCAATCCAGTAACGCTGGCCTCCTGGCTGTTCCAGGAACAAGACACTCCACCACTCAGCTCCAAGCATTTTCACTGGCCTAGAATGCCCTATGCCTAGAACACTTTGCCTCCCCATCTCTGCCTACTGGCTTTCCTGGTTTCATTTAAGTCCCAACTAAAATCCTTCCTTCTACAGGAAGCCTTCTTAAACCCTCTTAACTCTAATGCCTTCTCTCTTCTAATTCCTATTTTTCTTACATATAGCTTATTTGTACGTATTTGTTTGTCGTCTCCAATTAGATTGTGAGGTCCTTGAGGAAAAGGACTGGGTTTTTTGCCTCTTTTTGTGTTGCAAAGCTTAGCACGATGTCCAGCACACAGTAAGTACCTAATTAATGTTTATGGATTGATTGAAACTGAGGGATTGAAACTGAGGGAAACAGAAGTTAAGTGATTTGCCCAAGCTCGGCAGCTAGTAAGTGTGAGGCTGGATTTGAACTTGGATGGTTAAGAGCCTTGTTTAAGGTTTTGTGGCCACATGGCTTGTATCATTGGCAGGATTAGTCCTGCTTTTTCTGACCAGCACCCTATCTGTCTCCACAAAGCCATTGCCAGAAGTTTGATTCAGCTTTAATGACAAGGATGTAAATTACAATTTTATGAGAATAAATTAAATTGTCTACCTATAACTATTGAGATAGATAAATATTAATGTTTTCTGTTATCTTATAGCATAAGATAATATTTGCATGTATGATATTTTGATTATTCACTGCTAGCTCTTAAATCTAGAGGCTTAATATATTTCTGGGTAAAACTTATGCATTACTTAATTTAAATTTATTTATAAACCTGAAAGTCTAAAATACTGTTTCCACAAAAATTGACTTTTATGAGAAAAGTAAACAACTTGTTTTATAAGAGGCTCAGAAATTTTTAAAAAAGATAAAACTTTTCCCAAGTTGTGTGCATTTGTTTTATTTTGTTTTTTTAAAGAGTAACAAATCTAACAATACACTTTATTATTAGCTGTGAAGATATCGTTTTCTGTAGTATGTCACTTCTGAAAACTAGACTTTTTCTTTTACATACTTTCATGAAGGAAGCCATTAATACATGTATGAATTGTTCTCATAAATATTTTCTAGAGACAGAAAAGTAATAAGCACAGGGTCATGGTGTTTTGTACTGTTCTGGTTCAGCTTTTCTTCCTTCCATCATTTCATAGTGGACAAGTTTTGCAGAATTAGCTTGAAGGGCCCATACCCCTCTCCTTACAAAAAACCAGCTGTCTTAACTCCTTATTGGGAAACAAGTAGAAAGATGGAGTCTGTGGCATAATGAAGCAGTGAACAAGAATGAGGTGTTTCCTGTGTTGAGCTTGACAGAATTTTGTCTAATACATTATAGTTATGGAGCAAATGGGTTGGCATGAATGGTAACATCTTTAATGTGTACATCATTAAGAGGCCGAAAAGTCTTTTCATTTACTGGCAGCTTCTCTAGTTCATCCAAAGTCTCTAGGCCATCTATTACCCTAAAAGAAAATAGAACATTCATGAAAATTCTTTTGGAATGATAAATTCATGGTTTTTTTAATTCCTCTAGCAATTATAATTCCTATTATAATTCATGTGGCAATTAGTCACATCACGCCTTGTGATAGCTCATCTACTTCTGTAATAAAACTGCTGCTGAGGTTTTTTAAAAAATTGATTTCAACTTGTTATTGTTCAATTTATTATGTGCGTGTAACTTCTTTTCTCTGAACTTCAGTGTCCTTGAGAGTAAAGCTCACATCTTATATTTTTGTATATGACACAACTCAGGCACAAACATAGCAAAAAATTTGGTTTAATTTTGATCTGCTTTCTTACTGCAGTGTCTATCTATCTGTAGTATATAGATCTATATATAGAGTATAGACCTATACTACAGTGTATATATGTGAATATATACATACCCATACACACACACACATATATATATAGTAGAAGGCAAAAGTTCAGGCCTCCAAACTTTTATATTCTTGGTCAACTACAAGCAATAGGTGTAAAAAGTTCCTACTGCAGCTCAAGAATACAGCATTCTACCTTCATTCGTAGCTAGTAGTTACTCTAGATGGTCACACATGGGACAAATACATAAAACAGAGTAGCTTTTAAACCAAATGCACACAAATATAAAATAGTATCAACATTATTACAATCAGCTATAAGGTTAATGAAGCTCATTAAATTTCCTGAAGTAGGAAAAGGCAGATGTCATTTTATTTTGTAAATTTATTCCACTGATACATGTGGAACTATCGTACTTGCACTGAGCAGCTCTAAATTTAGGTTGAAGAGAATGAAAAGAGACAATAGAAAACAGGAAAATACAAATTCTGAATGCCAGAAACAGAGAGAAAAGAAATGCCCCATGTCAACTTAGGAGCACACGTTTTTAAACTTTTTTTTGCATCACAGATGCCCTTGGCAATCTAGTGAAGCCTATGGATGCCTTTTAAATGCATAAAATAAAATCCATAGGATTACAAAGGAAACTAATTATACTGACATATATTATCAAAAGATAGATTTTTTGAATTCATTATTTTATTTTCCCCCACTTACATGAAGAAATAATTTTTAACATTCATTTTTAAAACTCTGAATCCCAGATTCTCTCCTTTCCTCTCTCTCCACCCCTCCCCCCCAATTTAGAAGACAAGCAATTCAATATAGGTTATACACGTGCAGTCACGCAAAACACTTCCATATTAGTCATGTTCTGAGAGAAAACAAACAAAAAAACCCTTCAAGAAAAATAAAGTTAAAAAAAGTATGCTTCAATTTATATTCAGACACCATCAGTTCTTTCTCTGGGGATGGATTTTTCATCATAAGTCCTTTAGAGTTGTCTTGGATCACTGTATTGCTGAAAATAGCTAAGTCATTCACAGCTGATCATCTTATAATATTGCTGTTACTTTGTCCACAATACATTTCACTTTGCATCAGCTCATGTAAGTGTTTCCAGGTTTTTCTGAGAGCATCCTCCTCATCATTTCTTATAGCACAACAGTATTCCATCATAATCACATTCCACAATTTGTTCAACCATTCCCTGACAGGCAAACCCTCAATTTCCAATTCTTTGCCACCAGAAAAGAGCTGCTATAAATATTTTTGTACATGTAGGTCCTTTTTCTTTTTTTTTTTTAAATCTCTTTTGGGATATAAACCTAGTAGTGGTATTACTAAGTCAAAGGTTTTTATATTGCTTTGGGCACAGTTCCAAATTGCTCTACAGAATGGTTGAATTAGATCACAACCTCCACCAACAGTGCATTGATGTCTCATTTTTCCCACATACCCTCCACCATCTGTCATTTTCTTTTTCTATCCTATTAGCCAATTAATAGGTATGAGGTAATACCTCAGAATTGTTTTAATTTGCATTTCTCCAATCAATAGTGAGTTACAGCATTTTTTCATAGGGCGACAGATAGCTTTGATTACTTCATCTGAAAACTGTTCATATCTTTTGATCATTTATTAATTGGGGAATGGCTCTTATTTTTATAAATTTGACTCAGTTCTCTATATGTTTGAGAAATGAGGCCTTTATCAGAGAAACTTGCTTCAAAATTTTTTTCACAATTACTATTGCTAACTATTTCCCTTCATCCTATTTCCCCCCATTTATTCTATTTTCACTCTGTCCTTCCTCAAGTGTCTTGTTTCTCACAACCCCCTCCCCCAATATGCTCTCCCTTCTATTACCTTGCCCCCCCTTTCTCTTATCCCTTATTCTCTTATTCATCTGAGTGTATATTTTGATGTTCCTTGTCACCACAGTAACTTTCTACAGTCAGAATTTTTTGCCGTTGTTTGCTCAATTTTCCCAGCCTATTTCTTGACTTAATTCTTTGTTGTTTTTTTTAATTCTTTTTTTCAAATTTTTTTAGGCAACTGGGGTTAAGTGACTTGCCCAGGGTCACACAGCTAGTAAGTGTCAAGTGTTTGGTCTGAGGCCAGATTTGAACTCAGGTCCTCCTGACTTCAGGGCCGGTGCTCTATGCACTGCGCCACCTAGTTGCCCCTACTTAACTCTTTGTTAAAGTAGGGCTCTGCTTCCAGGGTGGAGGATGCACTGTCCCAAGTTTCAGGGGTTTTGGTGTAGCTGTTTTCAGAGATACTTCTAGGGACTTATAAATTTTCAGTTCTTCCAAGATGGTATGATCTAAAGACAGGTGTGTTTACTCGTCTCCAGCCTGTGCTCTGGTCTGTGAGTGACCACAAACACTCTTTTCTGCAAGAAGGGCTATTGCTCCACCACAGCTGCAAGCTTTAGTGTGCTAGTGCTCCTCCTGGCCCTGGGACTGCCACCCAGGACTTCGCTCTGGAACAGTGTATGGGAAAAGCAACAGAATCCTGCCCTAGTGCTAGCAAAGACACCCCTGTAATCTACTTCTGATCAGCTGTCTGACCCCCTTACTGTCTGCTGGCCAAGAGCTCTGCAAGCAGCTGCTGCCACTGCTAATTCAGTGGCTCCCAACACCTGCTCCTGGTTTGCTAAGGCTGGGTCTGTGCTCCACTCTCACCCATAGGACAGACCTTTCTCACTGACCTTCTAAATTGTTTCTGGCTGGAAAATTATTTCATCCTGTCCTTTTGTGGGTTCTGCTGCTCCAGCAATTGTTTTATGGCATTATTTGAAGGTGTTTGGAGGGGTTTTGAGAATTCAGATCAGTCACTGCCTTTTGTCTGCCATCTTGACTCCACCTCCTGTCAAAATTATTTTTTTAAAAATTCCCTGGATCTCAGGTTAAGAACCCCTGAACTAAAGTTCTGTTAGGATTACAGCTTTATCCAAGATGGTTAAGAGTGATATAACTTTTCTTACTTATATAAGGAAACCCATGAGATATCTCAAATTCCTGGGAGGTGGATATTTAAATTTTATTTCTAAAGAGAACCATAAAAATCCTAAAATTTAATCTCACTAGAATCTCTTGGTCTCTGTCTCTCTCTCTCTCACACACACACAGAGTCTCTCTCTCTCTCTGTGTATATATATGTACATGTGTGTATATATAGATATATATACACACACATATATATACATATACATACGTGTATGGCAGAGGGAGAAAATGTGCACAATAAACACCTAAATAACTGGTTTTCCATTGGTTTGTAAGTAACAAGAGGCTCTTTGAAAATGATGGTATTGGTTTGTGCTGTATTTTAAGTACCCTGGTGTATCCTTACTCAAAAGAAACTCAAAAAACAGTGTCTAGAATACTCACTTTCCAAACACCGTATACTTCATGTCCAAATGAGGCTGCTTGCCATAAGTAATAAAGAACTGTGATCCATTGGTGTTTGGGCCATTATTAGCCATGGATACAACTCCTCGAACGCTGTGCTAAGAGACCATCAAAAATATCAATTTAATCATATTTATTAAGAAGTACTCTGAATTTAGGCCTGAGATAAACATGCTTTGCCACTAATGAGCTACATAAACAGAGGCAAATCCCCTTACCACCTTGAGCTTTAATTACTTTACCTTTATCCCTTATAAAATGGACTAAACTAGACGAACTCTTCTTTGGGGAGTAGGAATTGGACTAAAAAATTCTGAAATTCTATAATACATAATAATCACATAATGGTATTTTTAAAAAGTGGATGAGAATATCAGAGTGTTAATTGAATAACTCAAAGGATGTTACTATGTAGTCCGTCACCAAGCCCAGCATGTACTGAACACTAGGAACACAACCACACAAGTATAAAAGTCCCTGCCCCCGAGGAACTTATTTTCTACTGAGGGATTTTCTACATGTTCACAAAAAAGCAAATACAGAACAAAGGCCTCTTGAAGGCGGTGGCACTTCATCTGAGCCGTGAAGGTAGATAGAGATTTCAAGAGGTAGAGGGCAGAAAGGACAGCATTTCGGGCATGGCCAACCTGTGAAAAGGCCTGAAGGTCAGAGAGGATACTGTATACAAGGAACAACTGGGACAGTTAGCTGAAGTATGGTGAGCTCAGCTAAAGGAGAATAATGGGTAATCAGCTAATAGGTTGGAGCCAGAATGTGATAGATTTAAATGCTTTAGATGCCAAATGGGTATTTGTACTTTATCCTTTAAATCTGGTGAACCTGAAGAAAAAGCCTTTGCCTAGAATACTTTCCTTCCTCATTTCTGCCTCCTGGCTTCCTTCAAATCCCAACTAAAATCTCACCTTCTACAGGAAGCCTCTCCTATTTCCTCTTGTTTCTAGCCCCTTCCTCCCTTAATTATTTCCTGTTTTTTCCCTAATTGCAAGGACAATTTTTTTGCCTTTGTATTCCTAGCATTTAGCGTTAACTACAGGCACATATTAGGTGCTTAATGATTTGCTTAGAGACTGAAAGACTTTAAATGCCAAGCAAGCATTTATATTCTATCCTAAAGGCAATCTGGAGCCAAAGTAGCTTCTACAGCAGGCAGTCACGTGGTCAGGTGAATGTTTTGGGAATATCAATTTGTCACCTATGTGGAGAACAGATTAGAGAGAGGAGAGTCTAGAGACAGGGTGATCAGTTAGGAGCTACTACAAAAGTTCAGGTGAGAAAAGATGAGGACTCCAACTAAGATAGTTGTGATGTAGGTAGAAAGAAGGGAAGTGGATTTAGGAGGGAAGAAAGTAAGTTGTTTTGGATATACCGAGTCTGAAATGCCTATGGGATACCTGGGAGAAGACGTCCAGCAGGAATTTAGAGATGTAAGCCTGGAGATGAGTAGAGATGAGGGCTGGATATACAGATTTGGGAATTATATAAATAGAGATGACAGCTCAATCCATGGGAGCTGATGAGATCTCAAAGAGAGTGAACAGAGAAAAAAAGATGAGAGGGCCCAGGACAGAGACCTGGGCTTCACCCATAAATAAAGGACGGGACATGGATGAGGAACGTTAAAAGAAGACCCGTTGGTCTTCCAGGGAGAAAAAGAACCATGACAGAGCAATGTCACAAAAACCAAGGGAGAAAGGACATGATGAAGGAGGAGCTTGTCAGCAGGATCAAGAGCTGGATTGAGGTCAAGAAGGCTGAGGAAAAACCACTGAATTTACCAAAAAAGAGATTACTGGCAACTCTGGAGACCAAAATTTCAGTTGAGTGGTGGGACAGAAATCAGAATGAAAGGGGTCAATAAGTGAGTGGGAGAAGAGAAAGTAGAGGCAATGATCAGAAGTCTCTTTTTTTAAAAATTTGGCTATGACAGGGAAGACAGATATGGTGAACTGCTGGAGGGGATGGCAGGGCCAAGTGAAGGTCTTTTTTAAGAACTGGGAAGACACTGGGCATGTCTGTAGGTAGTCTCAAGAAAGAGTCAAGATGACGGAGAAAGAAGTAAGTCGCTCTTACTGTCCCTTATTAACCTCTGAAAGCCCGGAAAATATCACCCCAGGAAAAACCCTGGAACAGCTGGACCAGAAGAAAGACAGGATGCAGCAGTCTGGTAGCCCAGGTAGCTTGAGGGATTAACCAGGAAAGGCCCCTCTTGCCCTGGGAGAAGGAGAGTAGTATAGAACGGGAGGCATCCCAGCAAGCTAGCAGAAAGCCCCACCTCAGCACACCTGAAACCCAGGCGGTGGAGCAGGCAAACACCAACACCTAGACCCCCAAGTGCCTCAGTAAGGGCAGAGGAACCCAGAAGAAACCAGCTCAAAAAACCACCAGGTGCCTGGGCATTCTAAAGCAACCAAGCCTCCCAGTGCCTCAGCAAAACTAAGAGAAGCAATGCTCCAAGGGGCCCCAGGTGGATAAACATCCTGCAACATCCATCTGAAAGGAGCTGAAAGGAGCTGAAGACAACTGAAGACAGTGAAAGGAAGGAAAGGCACAGTGAGCAGGAAATCTCCAGGGGCCAGACTACCCAATCCTACCCCTAGAGTTCCAGTGTTGCTGATTCCAGCCCAACACCAGGTAAGCTGCCAGAACCCTACAGCCTCCAACTACCAGCATCAGAGGCCTCAGCACACAAAGCCAATGACCAGGCCCTGGGTTCCCAGCACAAGAACCTTGGGTCAGGGCCCCCTGCTCCCCAGCAGGAGAGCTCAATCTCTTTAAAGGCCAGGAAAAAAGCAAACACCATGAGCAAATAGAAAGAGTCAATGAATAAAAAAAAAAATCTATCATTAGGCAGAGATGATGATCAAAAGGGCAACCTCCTGGAAGAGATGGGAGCTAATGGAGTCCAGTGCAAGTTGTTCAATGTCATGAAACTGGAGAAGAATGTTACCATGAAGTTTCAATGTATTAATAACAGCTCACATTTATGGACTGCCTTTGTTTAAAAAATCAGACCTGTGATTTCACTAGTACAGGCAGCTCATCATGAATAACTCCCTTGGCTACCAAGGCAGCTCGTAACCTTCTCTGCAACTCGTCTGTGAGAGAAGTGATTATTAATAACCAAGGATCTGCAAAGATCCAGAGTTCCCCCTTTTTTTCTTAGTCCTCATTTCAAAGTTCATTCTCTTGAAGGACTTACTGACAGTGAGATTGCATTAACTTTCTTAATTTTTTTCAGACCCCATCCAAGTGGGGAAGCCATGGTGCTCTACTCAAGATCTGGAAGGGGATAAATTCTTTGAATAGAATGCCCAAGGCTGGGGGTAATTCAGAAGTAAATGACATAATCAAAGTTAATTAGAATAGGTCCAGCCCCTCATTGACACTGATTCTCTCATTGTTAGCCAATCAGAGCTGACTGTCACCCTCAGGAATACCCCACTCAAAGGGCACATGAACTGTGAGCCTGCTGCCATAATTGTCTTTGGCCTTGGAGAGCGCCACTGACCTTTTATTAAAATGCTATCAGTATTAATAAAATGACTACCCAGAAATTATGTATCTTGAACATTTTGGTTTTTTTTTATTTTGTTTTGTTTTTAGGCAATTGGGGTTAAGTGACTTGCCCAGGGTCACATAGCTAGTAACTGTGAAGTGTTTGGTCTGAGACCAGATTTGAACTCAGGTCCTCCTGACTTCAGGGCAGGGGCTCTATCCACTGCACCACCTAGCTGCCTCTCTTTCTTTCTTTCTCTCTCTCTAACATTTTAAACATCCCATCTGAGAGCTCTCTGGGGGGGTTAGAGATTAAGTGACTTGCCCAAGGGCACAAAGATAGAAAGCAAGGGAGGAGAAGCCTCAGGTTCCAATAACAAGGGGATATCTTTCAAGGAGCTGGTAACTCCCAGTGGTGACTTTATTTCTAGCAGAACCCACTAACTACAAGAGACCCATGAAGGAGTGGTTCTATCAGTTTAATGAATGATCAAATGCTACGAACAGGATATAAAATAATGAGAAAAGACTCGTGTCTATAAGCTCTAGTATCAGACACAGCAATACTTAATGCAATGGAATAACTCAATATCCTCAGTTTATATTGATGCTAGTAGATAGCGTTTAATGATTTTCATATTCTAATTTAAAGGGGGAAATTCTTCAAGGCATCTCGGCAAAGTATTTATTTTTTCTTTTAATTTTTGTTTTTTAATTTGAACTTAAAACCTCAAAAAAAGAGCATTCCCATACATGCATCAGAATGTTAACTTTTTTTTTTAAAGAAGATACCATCTAGCAGCAACTGAAATACACTGAAACTGTCCTTGAGAGGTTTGGTACAAAATAGTATTTAATATACTATATGTAGATATACTAGTATATCTGCAAAGCTTAAATGGGAACAAGATGTGCCAATCTAATATAAAATTTTGACTGATAAGCAAAAAGTATAATAAATGTTCAGTCATTTTTCAATCCTGTCCAACTCTTCGTGACTCCATTTGGGATTTTCTTGGCAAAGATACTAGGGTAGTTTGCATTTCCTTCTCTAGCTCATTTTACAGATGAGGAAACTGAGGCAAACATGGGTAAGTGACTTGCCCAGGGTCAAACAGTTAGTTTCTGAGGCCACATTTGAACTCAGGAAGATGAGTCTTCCTAACTCCAGGCCCAACATTCTATCCACTACAACACTAATATAATAAAAATAACAATAATAATAAATTGCAGGGTTACATTATAGGACAAGGTCAAGCACTAACCTATGTTAAGTTTAATCACAGCCATTAAGTCATGAAATATGCAAAAGAAACTATCCAAAATTCATACTTACAAAATCATGCTAACTTGTATCTAATGAGTTAATTCAGTTTGAAAGTCTCCAACTTCTAATAGTGAGAAACCTAAGGTACCAGAATAATACTGAAGAATAGAGAGATACCTTAAGGTATTCACTGTATTCATCTTCAAATTTCCTGCCCCAGATACTGTTGCCTCCTTTTCCAGAACCTGCAGTACAATAAAATTAATATTTGGTTCAAGTTTTTAAAAGAAAAAAGGGAGGAGAGAAAGTTATTTTTAGGAGGAAGAAAATGAGGTATTAAGACCCTAAAGCTTTTAAAATGATCCATCTTAACAGACTGCAAACTAACATGTCCAGATAGTTTATCTCACCTTGTAAAATTGTAATATATGAACTAATCAATGAAAATGAAACGCCACCCAAATAACAAGAAGAATAATTCACTTTAAAGACTACTTACTAAAACAGTACCTACTGGACTCTTAGACATTTTTTTGATAACACACTACAGCATAATACAAAAAATCCCAGCCTCTACACTTAGGATGATTTTTCTTTTCCCCCTTCATTCCCAGGTAGAAAGCTGGTAATGAATTAAAGCACTCACCTGTTGGATCTCCTGTTTGTACCATGAAACCCTTGATATTTCTGTGAAATATACACCCATTGTAGTAATTACTAGCACAAAGAGCCAAAAAATTCTAAAGAATATGAAAATAAAAGTTAGGAAATTCTATAGCAGTGATGTTTTAAAAATTAAATAAAAACACTTGATTCCTCAAACACTATGGCTGATGGATTTAAAATGTACATTTCAGGCATTAATCTGGATGCTCATTGTAGTTTATACTTAATTCTTGTCAATAAGCAACTGAAATAACTGCAAAATATTTTTTCGTACAACATTACAATCGTGTTTGTGTATTTTCTACAGAAAATAAAGTAGAAGACAAGATTTCAGGTTCCTATTCTGTATAAGGGGGTTGAACTAGACCTGTGGTTCTCAAAGGGTGGTTCAGAAAGCAGTAGGGATCCCTATATTCTTTCAGGAGGTTCTCAATATTAACACTATTTTCATGACAATACTAAGACGTTTTTAATGCCTAATCCATTAAATATTGATAGACATAACCCACATAAACAGAAACTCTTTGGCAAGGTGGATCCTTGATAATTTCAAAGAGTGTGAAGGGGTCTCTAAGACCAGAAAGTGTAAGATTTGCTGAATTGTGAGACACTAAGATTCCTGATACTCTTAAATCCTATGATGCAAGTCACTTCTACCATTGAGGAGTCCATGTCATCTTTGTTCCACCTTTGACAAGCAAAGTCTACTTCTCAGGGTGTGTCACAGTGACACACAAGCCTTTTGTGTAGGGATTGGACTAGATGCCCAAGAAGGTCCCTTCCAATTCTCAAATTCCATGATTCTTTATTCTGAGTCTGGGTGCCAGAAGCAAGCAGTGGCCTTTATGCTGCTCTCCTTCATTCACTGATAATTTGGAGAAGTTCAGGGACTTCTCATGATACTTCCAAGTGATAGATAAGCTACTACCTACCTACTGGTTAGGATAGCAAACAGAAATCTCTGTAATATCATTTTATCATAAAAGGCATTTATGAAGTCCTCAATTATGCAATATGGTGTTAAATGGTAACATCGGACCTATTCCCTCAAATATAAACACATAAAACAAGATATTTAAGAAGCCAAAAGACCCATTGCAAAATCATTAATCTGGTGTTCTGGTTACTTCTATATTTTCTACATGAAAACTAAAGCCCCTTGATTCACAGTGAATTGTACACCTTTACACTGGTTCACAGACTTAGTGCTGGAAGGGATGCTACAGATCATCTTGTCCAGAAGCGTCAAACTCGCAGCCCAGAACCAGATTAAGATGTAATTGGGAAATTTTTAACAAAATAAATACAAATACAACATAATGTTAATTTGTGATTTTCTAAGTTAATATGCAGCCCAGGATCCATTTCTATTTGACTTTGACACCACGAATCTAGTCCAGCCCAATCATTTTACAGATGAGGAAACTTGAGGCCCAGAAAATTAAGTGACTTGCCTAAGTAGTAGCGGGCAATTACAGGACTTAACCCACGTTCTCCGACTCCAAATCCAGAATTCTTTCCACTACGTCACTAAAGTGTTCTGAGCCAAGTTATTATTAATTTCAATACTTACTTCACATGACTTGGGTGTCCGCTCACAGAAGACTTCTATTTTAATATCACCTACATCTGTGTGCAATGTCACAGACTAAAAAGGGGAAAGAGAACGTGAAAATAAATCAATTTTCTTCAATTGCATTATGTACTGTATTATTGCCAACTTAAAAACTCAGATAACAATCCAAATAGAAACAGAATTATATAATGATGCTTCAGAGGTGACCAACCGAAAAGAAAAAAAAGGTTTAGGAAATAAGGAAAGCTGTTTTAATGCCTCCAGAAAATTATTTAAGTAGGTATCTTTTTTAAAAAAATGACAACATCATTCATTTAAAAAGCATCCTTAAACTCTTTGGGAGTTACACTGATAAGGACAGAAGACCAGTACATGGCTCACAACAGCCTCTTCATGCTCCAAGAACAAAAATGCAGGATTGGTATCCCTCAAACATAGCCCTACCACACTCTGGCAATAACACCTATTTACGACACAGGTGGCTGAAGTTAAATCTCCCTGTTCTCCCAAATCCCTGAGATCACGATGCTCTGTAATGAGTGAATGTTAACAGTTCTTTCAAAGTTCTTTCCTGTGAGACTGTTCCTTCTCAGTCTCCTCTGCTGGATATTCACCTAGTTCACATCCACTAATTGGGAGTATTCTCCAAAGCTCTGTCCTGGACTCTCCTTTTTGTCCCCCTGTGCTATTTCGCTTGGTAATCTCATCAGCTCCCACGGATTCAGTGATTATCTAGGCTGATGATTCTCATATCTTCTTATCCAACCCTGAGCTCTCTCCTAATATCCACACTCTTATTTTTTTTTTGGGGGGGGAGGCAGTTGGGGTTAAGTGACCTGCCCAGGGTCACACAGCTAGTGAGTGTTAGTAAGTGTCTGAGGCTGGATTTGAACTCAGGTCCTCTTGACTCCAGGTCTGGTACTTTACCCACTACACCACCTAGCTGCCCCTGCACTCTTATCAAAGTGGTTGTCTCCTAGAAACCTTAAACACATGTGCAAAACTGAACTTTTCATCTTTTCCCCTAAAACCTTCCCTCCTCCTAACTTTCCTATTAGTATGGCAACAACACCATTTCTCCCATTCACCCAGGCTTGCAACCTAGGCATCCTCTTGAACTCCTCACTCTCTCTTATCCTCTCTATACAATCTGTCACCTGCTGATTCTACCTCCCTAACATCTTTTGTATATGCCTCCTTCTCTCTTCTGACAGTATTACCACCCTGTTACAGGCTCTCCTCACCTCATACCTGAACCACTGCCACAGCTGCTGGATGGTATCTCTACCTCAAATCTCTCCCCACTCCATTCCATCCTCCCCTTAGCTTTCAAACTGACCTTTTCCCAAAGCACTGGTCTGATCACACTATTCCTCTGTTCAATAAATTCCGGTGACTTCCTATCACCTCTAGGATCAAATATAAAATCTTAAGTTTAAAGTTCAAAGCCTCTCATAACCCGGCCCTCTTACTTGTCCAGTCTTCACTCTCTCCCTCCTCATCTGGGCTTCCTGGCTTCCTTCAAGTCCTGGCTAAAACCCCACTTTCCACATGAAGGCTTTCCCAATCATCCTTAATGCCAGTGCCTGCCCTCTGCTGATTATCTCTGATCTATCCTGTATATGTCTTTTTTGTACATGGTTGTTTGAATGCTTCTTTCTCCAGCAGACTGTGAGCTCCTTAAGAGCAAGATTATTTTTAGTCTTTCACTTAACAAAGTGCCTGGCATATAACATGTGCCTAATAAATGCTTGCTGATCAACTTGGTGAATACAACTGTACTTTTAAATATGCAGTCACCTTCCTCCTTTCCCCTCTCCCCCATGTCTTTTTTCATCCTCTTTTCCCCCACGCCTAAAGGAGAAGACTGGAGGAAGAAGGTCCCCAGTGTACACTCACGCCTCTGCCATCCTTCCCCACCCCCTCCACTTCAGGGACCATTTTGGAATCACTTGAGCCAAAACAAAAACTTCTCCATTAAAGTTGCTATAACTCACATTTAGCTTCTATTTTCTGCCCTCCCAATTCCCTCTTTCTACCCCAACCTGCCTACAAATATAAATAAGGGATATCTTGTGGCTTTTTAACTCAAAAAAGGAAAAAAAATTAAAGAAAAATTTAAATAGTCTTATAGAAAGTTTAAATGTTATTTTTTTTAACTTTCTATTACTGCCTAAAAGCACTCTACTCTTGCCACATTCACACTTTTCACTTTTCCTCTCTTTAATGATCAACTTTTCATGAAAATCTCTAACTACAGTTGCCAGTTTTATCCTTATAGAAAACAATCAGCTGTACACAAACTGTTACACTATTCCACAGACATGTGGAAATTCAACAATCTGGCCACAAGAGTGGATCAGTGACCACGCCAAAAATCTGCAGTCACAAAATCAAACCAAAAGGATGAAAGTAGAAAAGGTTCTTCAAAGGCCTCATGATGGAAAATGCTATGACCAAACAGGAGATAAAGAACATTATGAAAAGCAAAATGGATGACTTTGATTACATTAAATTGAAAAGTTTTTGCACAAACAAAGTCAATGCAACTAAGATTAGAAGGAAGGTAGAAAATTGGGAAAGAATTTTTACAACCAGTCTCTCTGTTAAGGGCCTCATTTCTAAAATATATAGAGAATTAAGTCAAATTTATAAGAATACAAGTCATTCCCAACTGATAAAATGGTCAAAGGATATGAACAGGCAGTTCTCAGATGAAGAAATTAAAGTCATCTATAGTCATATGAAAAATGCTCTAAATCCCTATTGATTAGAGAAATGCAAATCAAAACAACTCTGAGGTACCATGTCACACTTATCAGATTGGCCAACATGACAAAACAAGAAAATGATAAACGTTGGAGAGGATGTGGGAAAATTGGAATGCTAATACACTGTTGGTGGAGTTGTGAAATGATCCAACCATTTTGGAGAGCAATTTGGAACTATGCCCAAAGGGCTATAAAAATGTGCATACCCTTTGACCCAGCAACAGCATTTCTGGGGCTATATCCCAAAGAGATGAAACAAATGGGAAAAGGACCCACACGTACAAAAATATTTATAGCAGCTCTTTTTGTGGTGGCAAAGAACTGGAAACTGAGAGGATGCCCATCAAGTGGGGAATGGCTGAGCAAGTTGTGGTATATGAATATGAGTGGGATTGAGACCACTTACCCAAATAAAAATTCAGAGGTTTCTCTCAGTAGAAACAGAAGTTTTATTCTAGCAAGTCTCACGTGAGAATTGGGCATCACCTACTTAGGGCGGACTGGAGTAGGGAGGCAGAATACAAGCAGCAAGCAAGCAGTTACATACCCCTAGACAAACAATTCTAAGAAAATCCCACCCTCCTGAATTTCTTTATCCTCATTGGTTGAGGTAAGAGACCTTACATTCTACCCAGAAACCAAGAGATACATTTTACCCAAAACAAGCTTGGGAGCTAGAAGACTGCCTTATCTGACAAAGATAAGGCTGGGGTGGTGGTTACAAAACAAGGGAGGGGGTGGGCAACAGATGCATGACCCCATCACATGATTTACAGGAAAACGAAACTTAGGCTCAGCTAATGCTAAAGCCTTAACTAAATTTTGGGGCATAGCTTTCATTTCATATGAGAAACTTTCACTTGTCCCGCACAAAAGTAATGGAATACTACTGTGCTATAAGAAATGATGAACAGGCTGACTTCAGAAAAACCTGGAAAGACTTCTATGGTCTGATGCTGAGTGAAGTGAGCAGAACCAGGAGAATGTTATACACAGTAACAGTCACATTGTACCATGACTAATATTGATAATTAACCCTTCTCAGCAATACAAGGATCTATGACATCTCCAAAGGCCTTGTAATGGAAAATGCTATCCACATCCAAAGAAAGTACTATGGAGTTTGAATGCAGGTCAAAGCATACTATTTGCTATTTTTTTTTCTTATGTTGAGTTTTGTTTCCTCTTTCTGGTGGTTCCTCCTATTGGTTCTAATTCTTACTTACAACATCACTAATGTGAAAATATGTTTAATAGGAATGTATATGTATAGCCTACATCAGATTGTGTACCATCTTGGAGAGGGAGTTGGGGAGGGAGGGAGAGAAAAATTTAAACTCAAAAGCTTTGGAAATGATTGTTGATAAATCTGAATAAATTAATTTAAAAAAATAGAAAAGGTTAAGTTTTGAGCTAGAAGTGACAAGAAGCTAAATAGCTAAACAAAAGTTACACAACCATTCAAGTAAATCCTAAATAACAGAATAACCAAATCCTAGAAGTGGCTAAAATGGACAATCTTTAAAGAATAGACAGAAAGAGATGGGAACACTTAAATCTCTGAAATAACCAGAGGATCAAAAACTGTGACCACTCTGTGCTAGAAGGTTAAATAACACATGGAACTGAACTTTGCACAAAACACCTACATGCCTTGGAGAATAGAGTTTTTTGGGTTTTTTTGTGTGTTTTGCAGGCTGAATAAATTTTTTAAAATTTTTTCTTTTTTAGGTTAACATACACATTTTGAAAACAAACATGTGATTGGGGCTTATATGTTTCTGCCTAATTATTTTTATGTTGCTTGTTTTTCTTGGATGCTTATTTAGTTAATGAGGACTAAGGTTAGAAGAAAACAATACAAGAGCAGAACAAAAAGGAAAGAGAAGTCTCTTACTTTGCTGTGTTGCTTAGGGCCCTGGTAGCAACCGAGCACCACCGAAAATCCTTCTCTTTTCAAACAGATAAAATGATCCTCTGATGACAGCAAAGACAACAACTAACCATAATAACAATTATGAGACACATTAATACAGCTTCACGGTTTCCAAAAAGCTTTTCCTCCTACAACAGAGGATGTGTAAGTATGATGTTCTCCTTCTCGTGAGAAAACATGCTCAGAGACTTTCAGTAACCTGCCTAGGGTCACACAGCAGGACTCGACTCCAGGTCTCTGGCTTCCAGTCTTAGAAGCAGGGCTGCCTCAGAGGGCCAAGGGCCTCAGCTGCCGGGGCTGGGCCCAGGGTCTCACTGCAGTGCCTACTACAGCTGCTCTTGGGATGGGGACAAGGACAGGAAGGCAGGCCCTGCTCAGTCTAGTTGGGAGCCAAGGCTCCAGGCCATGGCAAGAACTGGAGTGGTTCTTTTCCTGTGTCACTCTTAGAGTTACTTTTCAGGTCCCTGTCCTAGATGGTGACTGCCATGCAGATAGGACCTGTCTTATGCAAGTTTGTCTCTTCCCCGGAGCTCAGCACATTTCTGGACGTAGCAGGAGTTAACATAATCAATGGCGATTGAGTCATCAGATGTTTGCTGTGGAAGGAGGTCTATGCTGAATGTCCAATGAAGGGATGGAACCAGGCAGGCCATGGGAGAGGGTAGGGAGGACATGCCCATGGTGGGCTTCTTAGGGAAGGGGACATCTTCCTGGCTGGATACTCCTGGTAAGATGTTCTTGTTTCTCGTGATACTTTTTGGGGGCTCTGGATCTGTGATGTATCTCAAAAACCGGTCTGGCAGCTCTCTGGGGACTATCACTCAGAAACAAGGACTGGCAATGCCCAGGTCCCTGCCCTGCCTGACTACTTCTACCTCTGGGTTTCCTTTCCAGACCTCAGGGGACATGGCTGTGGACTTATCTGAATACCATCTTAGCAGTGAGTTAGACTAATAAGAACACTCCACACACTGTGTGCTCGGCACTCAATGGCTGCTCCAAGCCGGTCATATTCAGCCGTGTGGTCAGTAGAGTGGAAGCTCTGGGAAAGCAGAGAGGGTGTCCTTCCTAGCTCTGTCTCTCCCATGTCTAGCACTTTCCCTCAATAAAGGTTTGGTGAAATGCACCGACTCAATCCTCACAACACCTGTCTATGGGAGCCGGGCTGGCTGCAGGCCCAAGGAGAGGAGGCATAGTTTGCCCCAAATCATCCGGTGGGCTGAGATGAGCAGCAGCTTCTGGGCTCAGCCTAGGGCTCTGCTCTAGTTAGACAATTCTTCTGATTCACTAAAGTTATTTTTTCTCTGGGAGGCTCCCCTTCAGAATACTCCTGATCCTCCCCACCTCCCCCTTGAGCATTTCTTTGTTCCTAGCCCATATATGAGACCAAGGCCCCAAGGCCCTGATTACACACAGCCTCCTGGGGGTGGGAGTCTGTGCCATCACCCTCAGCCATCCCCTGGGCTGGGGAAGAGAATGGCATTTTCTGATAAAAACATACACATTTACAACAAGTAACATTAAAAAGTACTCCTTGTGTGTCAACCTAGTCAGCAGCCCACTTTGTCTACCCCTGTCCTAGCTCTGGTAAAGAGCATGAAGTTTCTCTCTCCAAAGCCCAATTATATGCCAAAGGCAGTTATCACATAAACTAAACAGAATTACCTAAGACCAGTCAGATTGGGCAGGTTTAACTAGATAATCTCTGAGGTTCCATTTAGGCTCTAAAATGACTATAATTCTACAACCAGTTTCATGCCTATAGATTGAGAAGTAGAATTTTTATGCATCTGAACTCTTTAAGTTAAAAATTATAAAGAAAGAAAAACTTTCTTAAGGAATCTATGAAAACTCACCATCCTACTTGTGGATTTCAGGCAGTCCAAAAGAAAGCTGAAAAGAAGGGGGAAAAAGTTTACAAACTTTTCCTTCCTTATTTAATTCAAATATATCTATTTATTTTAAACAGCACATTTACAACAATTCTAGTGAGTCATGGTTAGAGGGAAAGGGCAGAAAAGACCACAAGCAAGAAGGGGAGCTCTGAGAGCCATCCTCCAAATCCAATCCCACTAGGGCTTTGCTTTATTTGTTCCATAATGCAAGCCAGGTGTGTTTGTGTCCATGGATACACATGCGTATGTATGTATGTATGTCCCCTAAGAAAGCCACTGTTAATAAAGATTCACTTTAAAGGAAATAATTTTGCTTTATCTTTTAAACTCTCCAATTTTCCTTTGTTCCAGACCTGTGATCTCGTAGTATAAGTAGCTTCCAAGTGAGGAAATTCCCTCTATTCTATCCACAATTGCTCTCCAACTTATTAATCAAGAAGCATTTAGTAAGCACCTATTATGTACTAAGCACTGTATAGGGGATATAATTCTTGCCCTTAAGTTTATATTCTATTCAGTAAGACACTATATGCACATATAAGTATAAGAACTGGGAAAGGAACTAACCCTGTTTTTTCACTGTTCTAGGGAATTCCCGGGTGAGGAAAAACTCTACTCACACAGATTAACACTTTCTCTGTTTTTTAATAGTTTTAGACAGTTGCTTAGAGCACAGGGAAGCCAGCTCTCTATCTACTAAGCTATTCTACTTCTCATGTAAACGTATACATATGAATAAGAGACAATTTTGTGGGGCAAACACTGGCAACTAGAGGGAATCAGGGAAGTCCTCAGGCAGGAGGTATTTGAGTTCTGTTTTAAAGGAAACAAGGAAAACAAGTGTAAGAGAGTTTCCTGGTACACTGAGAAGCTAAATAACTTGCCCAAAGTTACACAGCCAATATTGCAGTAGCAGGATTTGAACACAAGTCTTTCTGACTAAGGCTCACTCTCTATCCACTATACCGAGGTTCTCAAACATGATCTTGTGGACCCTGGGGGTCCTTGAAACATTTCAAAAGATCCTGCAGTATCAAAACTATTTTCATAATAATACGAAGATGGTATTTGCCTTTTCCCCTCTCATTCATTCATGAGAATACAGTGGAATTTTCCAAAGGCTACGTGACCTGCGAATTAAAAATTTAAAACTGCAAATGCAAAAACTGTTAATATCTCATCTGGAAAACTGTACTTATACCTGACACCATGAGCTTGACAAATTCCCAATTCTTAGATTTTTCTGATGAAAACGCTAGTGATATTAATGACATAATCTTTTTACAGCATTTGGAAGATCTGCATAACTCACTGAACCAATATTTTCCAAATGACCAATTCATAATGTTACAAAATCAAGGGTAAAAGATTCAAAGTGCAAGATCCAACCAATGGATCTTAATGTAACATTGTTCAAAAAGGTCATTGACATTGCAACTAACCTTTAAGAAACTACTACTTGACCAGTTCTGGTATGGTGTCAAAGAATATCCGTAAACATCTGAAAAGATCATTTAAAAAAACCCTTTCTTTTTCCAACTACATATCTGCATGAGGCTGGGTCCTCTTCACATACTTCAATTGAAACAACATATTACAAAAGACTGAATTCGAAACAGGAGGATCCAGCTGTCTTCCAGTAAGCCAGAAACTAAAGAGATACGCAAAAATGTAAAACATTGCTATGCTTATAATTTTTTTGTTTTAGAAAATTGTCATTTTTTAAAACCATGTTAAATATGTTAACATGTAATGAATTTTACAATTACTACATTAAAAATGAGTATTTTAAACATTTTCAGTTTTAATTTCTAATGCAGTATATTATCAATAGCCATAACCCGCATAAATAAAAGCTCTTTGGGGTCCTCAATTGCTAAGAGCTTTAAAGAAATCCAGAGACCAAAAAGTCTGAGAACCATTGTCCCTCAGACACACCAAAAGCTCTCTAAAGACACTGAGGTTGACTTTAAAGGAGTAAAGAAAAATCGGTTCTACATCCAGATTTGATCCCTACTACAGCCCACTCCTACTAAAGACTTGAATATTTAAAATTAAAAAGGCTTTCCCCGCAGTTCAGTCCCTTCCTACTCTCAAATTGTCATTCCGTGATAAACCACTTTTTCCTGTATTTACTTTGTCAATCTGTGATATGCCACTTTTTATTTTACTTGCTTTATCATTCTGTGCTGACACTTTTTCCTTGCTTACTCCGGGTGAGTCGGGATTCCAGGAGAGGGCCAGGTACGATCTAAAGATCACAGGCAGGAAGGGGATGAGTTTTGCAGCCATACTGTTTTTTTGCCTTTCTTCGTACCTCCAGCGCCCAGTACGGTGCAAGCTTGGGACGTGGTGAGCTTGCTAAATACTTGTTGACCCGACCCAATCCGTCAGGGCTCATCCTCGCCCTTGAAAGCGTCTCTAGTCCCAGCCTGTCTCCCCTAGCCTCCCTCTCCAACCCCGCCTCCTCCTCAGCCTACAGAACCGCACTGAGACTTCCCGCTTAAAACACGGGAACGAGAGACCAAGTCTCGCGAAACTATCTAACTTGAGAGCGGAGATGCGGCTGGAAGGCAGGGGCGTGAAAACTACGTTCCTCCTTCCCCTCGCTGTGTGTCTGCGCAGGGCCCGCAACAAACTGCGCTCTCTCCTTCCCTTCATCCCCAACCCGCAGCCTTTCTCCACCGGCTCACCCTACGGCTCCAAACTTTCGAACAGGAACGAAGATTTTGGACCCCAAAACAAGCGGACCGGAAGCGAGTAAGGCCGACGCACAAAAGAGAAAGGGCCGCTTCCGCTCCGGCCCCAACGCAGCGGAAGCACGTGAACAGGAAACGGAAGCGGTTCCCCGGCGGGCGGCCGTAGGGAGAAGGAGGCGCAGGTGAGGTATCCCGGCCCCTCCGGTCCGAGCGTCTTGTCGCGTTCCATCTAGGGGCGGTGACGGGTCTTCTAGGAGTTGGCAGCCGGATCCGGTGCAGCCTAGGCTTCCATCACGAGTCTCCTGAGGCTAAACTGCAAAATTACCAGAGGTGGAAAAGGAGACCTTCTGGTCGAATCTTCTCATCGTAGAAAAGGCTTAGAGACCAGGAGCTGTCCTAGATTACGGGCACAGGGACTGGGGCTCCTCGGCCGGAGAGCCGCTGCAAAGACCTAATTAAAAAGGACGCAGAGAGGGCAAGACTAGGAGAGCGACCCACCTGACCAGGGAGCCGCCGCCGCCGCTCCCGGAGACGAAGCTTTGCCCCAAAGACTATTGGTTTGTTAAAATACGCATAGATCTATTAAATATAAATTGTTGGCGTTGTGTAGTTATGCTGGTTTGTTGTTGTTTTTTTTCCCCCTAGGATTTATGTGGGCCTTGGGATGATCTGACTTCAAGCCTTGCCTTTAACACGTAGCTTGTTTTATGAGGCAACTGGAAAATGAGATAAGATTTGTAAAGTGCATAAATGCTAGCTATTGTTATGTACCTCGCCTAAAGTTAGGCCCTTACTAAATGTTTATTGAATTTAATTGCACAGTCACTTTCTCTCTTAGTGTCTCAGACCCCACTAAGACTATATACTATAAACTAGTTGCAGATCTGCAGCATGGAGGGAGTTCCCAACATCATAAGTTTACTCATACTCTTGAGATCACATCCCTGAAGGAGAAAAATAAATAGTTGTGGGTTTTTTTAATCTCTGGAAATCAAGTACTCAACCAAATAACAAACAGCCCAAGAGGGGAAAGGGATTCAACATGTCTAAAGCAGTCAACAAGCATTTATTAAGTGTATATCATGTGTCAATACTATGCTAAACAGTGGGAATAAAAGAAAATCCAAAATGGTCCCCCTGTCTTTAACAAACATATTCTAAAGGAGGAGACAACATGTTAAAAAAAAAGGCTATTTTCGATTTCTGTTTCAAGATACTTAAAGAATAGATAGGAGGTAACATTAGAGGGGAAGGTTCTAGCATTTGGGGAGACTGGAAAAAGACTCCTACAAAAAGTAGCATTTGAATATTTTGAAGGAAACCTAGGAATCTAAGAAGCAGAGGTAAGGAGGGAAAACATTCCAGCTCTGGCACACAGCCGGTGCAAAGACAGAGATGGGAGACAGGGTGTCCTATGCAAGGAACAGCAAGTAGAGCATTATGTTTGGGTTGTAGAGTTTGTGGATGGGAGTCAAGTCTAAGACTGGAAAAGTAAGAAGAGGTCAGATACTGAAGGGCTTTAAGTGCCATTGGACTTTATATTTGATCCTGAAGGTCGGGGGGAGCTGAGTTTATTAAGTGAGAGTTGTAGGTAAGAGGAGGATGATACAGTCAGACTTACTCTTCGGGAAAATCACTGGCAGCTGAGTAGAGGATGGTTTGGGACGAGAAGGTTATTGCAACAGTCCAGGCAAGAAATGATTAGGGCAGGAACTAGGATGATGGCTCTATGGTTCAAAACAAGGGGACAAATATTGGAGAAATTGTGAAAGTAGAACTGGCAAGATGTGAAGACAGATTGGGTTTGTGGGGCGAGAATAGATAGAGGGAACAGAGAACAAACAGAGCTTTGGGCAGAACCCCATTTAGTGGTTTGACAGGGATCAAGATTCAGCCCAGGAGACTAAGAAGCAGTAGTCAGGTATGAAGAGAACCAAGAGAACTCTTTCTTCCCAAACCTAATTCACTATTTCTTTCAACAGCACTATCATCCTGTAGTCACTCCGGTTTTCAAATTAGGTATCATCCTCTTTATTCTCCCTTCCCTCCACATTTCCAATCAGTTGCTAAATCCTGCTGTTACCATTTTTCATCTATTCACTTACATGGTCACCACTTCAGTTAATTTCTTCCTGCCTCAGGTCTCTTCCCCACTCCCATCCGGCTTCCACACAGCTGCCAAAGTGTCTCCCCACATCACTTCCCTACACAGTGATATGCTGGGACTCTGGCATCTATAAGATCAAATATAAACTCTGTTTGGCGTGTAAACCCTTAACAACTTGGCCCCATCCTACCTTTCTGGTGTCATTACATGTCACTCCCCTTTACTCTCACTGTGGTTCATCCAGACTGGCCTTAATTACGCTGAGCCTTTGCCTTGGCTGTGGACTGCACTCCCTCACCTCTGCCTCTTAGAATTTCTAGCCTCCTTCACAGCTCAGCTCAGGCGCTACCTCCCACATGAAGCCTTTCCTGATCTTCCCTGCCTGTGCTTTCACCTAAATCATCATCTGTCCATCTTGTACAGACCTCTTTATGTACATGTCTTCTCCCCTCCCCGGCTGGAACACAGTAGGTCCTTAATAGATCAATAAACATTAAATATCTACCTAGTGCCTGATACTGTGCTGAATGCTGGAGATACAAAACAAAAAAATAGTCCCTTCCCTCAAGGGAAGGACAAAATGCCAAAGGAAGCTGAAAAGGAGGGTGGAATAGGGAGGTACCTGGGGCAGGGTGGAGGGAGTGAATATGATAGAGATAAAAACAAACCAGAAAGTGGTGAGCCTGCTGAGAAATGGTAAATGCCTATTGATAAGCAAAAAGAACTTATAAGACCCAAAGAGTTTTAGTCAGGAATACCGATTATAATTTCCAGTGTGGATTTGGGCCAGTAGGAGTATCCAGAGGTTAAAGCAGTGTCTGTTGTTAGCATAGATCCATTTGTTCAGTACTATCCTTAACAAATATTCATTGCATACCTGTGCTTTCGTCATCATTAGGCTAGGAGGGGCATAAAAAATTGTATCCCCAACAGGCTTACAGTCTAGTTGGAGAGACAAAATATATACATAACAAGATAATAATACCTGGTAGAATATACTAAATAACAGTTGACATTTCTGTAAGATTTTAAGATTTACAAAGTGCAGGGCAGCTAGGTGGAGCAGTGGATAGAGCACCAGCCCAGGATTCAAGAGGACCCGAGTTCAAATATGGCCTTAGACACATAACACTTACTAGCTGTGTGACCCTGGGCAAGTCACTTAAGCCCATTGCCTAACCCCAAAAAAAAAATTTACAAAGTGCTTTATGTTCATTATCTCATTTGAACTTCAATAACCCTATGAGATGAGTTTAACAGGGAATTTTCCCCATGGCTTCTCCTAGGATTACACAGCCAGTGTTTCTCAGAGACAGGATTTGAATCCAGGTCTTTCTGACTCCAAATACAGTAATAACTACTAAACCAGCTTCCTCTCTGAATGCTAAAGAGCTAATGATAATTAGAGGTTCAGGAATACAAAAGAGGAAGTGGCTACTGGATTAGGGTCATGGGTTAAAGCTTTAAGAAGGCAATGGGACTTGAATTGGACCTTGAAAAGAAGGGGGTAGGAGGTCAAGCCAAATAGATATACAATGTGGTTTGCATTTCCATTTCCTGATTTTGTGATTTCAGATCTGAGTCTCAGCTACTTTCTGCATGTTGTTATCCTGTGTGCGCTTGGTTTCCCAGAAGTTCCAAGCCCCCCAGTCATTGGTCAGCAGAAAGTTCCAGGCTCTGCAATTCTTGGTCAGCAGTCCTTCACGTCCTTTCATGGATCTTAAAACTCTTGTTTCATCATTGAATGACTTTGCCTCACTCTCATTAGCTGAAAACTGGGACAATGTTGGATTATTGGTAGAGCCAAGCCCACCCCATACTGTGAAGACACTTTTGCTAACAAATGACCTGACCAAGGAAGTGATGGAGGAGGCGCTCCAAATGAAAGCAGATCTCATTCTCTCCTATCATCCACCTATTTTCCGACCACTCAAGCGTATAACTTGGAATACATGGAAGGAGCGTCTGGTGATCCGGGCTTTGGAGAATAGAGTTGGTATCTACTCTCCACATACTGCCTATGATGCTTCACCCCAAGGAGTCAACAACTGGTTAGCAAAAGGGCTGGGTAAGAATTTTCTCATTTCTTGACATTTTAAATTTCCCTTTACAAACCTCTAAAAATTGAGATGACCTTTTTAGTTGTAACTTCCCTTACAACTTGACTGCTTTTGACAGTTGCAGGAAAAAAGACAGACATTTTGATCATTTTAAATCTTTAAAAAAATTTGGTAATGGGGAGCAGCTAGGTGGTGCATGCACGTGGATAGAGCAATGGCCCTGGAATCAGGAAGAACTGAGTTCAAATTCCGCCTCAGACACTTGACACTTATTAGCTGTGTGACCCTGGGCAAGTCACTTAACCTCGATTGCCTCACCAAAAAGAAAAAAAAAAAGGTAACGAAACGTACCAGTTGAATTGCACTTAAAAAAGAACAAAAAATTGTCCCTAATAAAGCAGTGACTTGAATAAAAATAAAACCTACATAAATCAGTTAACAAGTATTCATCAAGTGCTTTGCTAGACAGTTGAAGAATGCAACAATTTCAACCCCGACCTGAAGAGGTAAAGACGATAGTATCTCTACTTTTAAATTGACTCCCTTATTTAATGTTTTTCTAGTAGCTTAAGGTAGTTATTCTGAAATTATGGTCTGCATTAGGACAACCAGACTTCCCACAGGTACTTGGAACTTAAATCCTTGTATACCAAGGAATAACTCTAATGAATGACCTAACAAGTGGGCAATTTTCGAAGATTAATTCAAAGCCTTTTTTAAATTAGATTTGTAGAAAAATTTTCCTTTGTTTCCAGGTATTTCTGCTTTTCAAAGGCCTTCTGAAAATGACTATGATTTTTAACATCTCTCTGACTCCTGAACTTAACGTATGTTTTTTACTGGTATTAACATTACAATTTATTAATTGCCCCCATATTCTTTGCCTCTCTTGGTTCATACTTAAGTATGAAGCATTTAAGGGCTCCATGATTTTACTGGTACTTACATTTTACTTATACCATTTTACCACCTCAACCAGCTGAGATCACAACCACTCTAAATTTTGTAGATAATTTTCAAGAGTTGCTGTAGCTGGAGAATTCATTTCCCTATAGCCAACCTGATGATGAGTTCCTCTGAATTTAGCTGGACAGATCCTTAGACATACAGGGCAATAGTCTATCCATCATTCAGTCTCTGCAGGTTGGGAGGACCTATCGGAGCTTTCACTCCTTTGAGAATGCACCATGCCAAGGTGAGCCATTGCAGGAAGACATTAATGGCAGGTCTTTGCTTTTGTAAATGTAATAAGAATCTCCCTATGTTCTGCACTTTTTTTTAGGAGGTTGTACCTCTCTTCCAATACATCCATCAAAAGCTCCCAGCTACCCAACAACAGGAACCCATCGAGTGGAGTTTAATATAAATGACACCCCAAGCATGGACAAATTCATGTCTGCAGTGAAAGACATACCAGACGTTTCAATAACTACCTTCTCTGCTAGGTACTCTTTATTTCTTTTTTATTTTTTCAGGATATCTGTGGCACTTATTAATTTATAGTTTTAAAATAAATCATTTCCTCTTGGATAGGATTACACATGTATCTAATTTTCCTGAGGGTCTAAGAGGAATAGACTATAGAATGACTCCAAAATATAGACCATGAAATATAAGAAAGATCACCATGTTTTCTGCTTTCCATTCCTAAGGATTTAAAACATTTAAATATCACCACATAGAGGTCTGTTTTGCTAGGGCCCAGGAATTCTTTCTGATCTTTATTGTACCACTTTCAAAATGTTTCCTTCCACGGCCAGATTTCCTACTGGGCATTTTGGAATGCAGAGGCCAACTTAGTATATTGAAAGCATCATAAAAAGTAACAAGATTAGGGGGCAGCTAGGTGGCGCAGTGGATAGAGCACTGGCCCTAGATGCAGGAGGACCTGAGTTCAAATCCAGCCTCAGACACATAACACTTACTAGCTGTGTGGCCCTGGGCAAGTCACTTAACCCCATTGCCTAGCCAAAAAAAAAAAAGTAACAAGATTTGCCAAGCAATGAGTCATAGATACATTTGTATGAAAAGCAGTTAATGATTGCCTGTGTACTCTGAGGCGTGTTAAGACTCACGTTATGGTGAAGTCTATGCTGAAGTCTATGCTGAAGCCCATACCATGTCACCACTAAAAAGTGCCTTTTAGATAGTAGCTTTTAAGTATGAAAGTTCCTTGTTATACTCATTTGAACATTAAATCTTCAGGGTGGGGGAAGGAAGAAGAGAGGACTATTATTATTATCCAGGAATAACTTGTAACAGTTTCAACTCTTTGAATGCCTGCTTTTTATGGGGCTTTGGATAGGGAAGCCTAAGTATCTAATCCCTACAGTCACTTCAAGGAATATCCTCTGACACACTGAAATACTACGTAGAAAATGCAAATTTGTATGATACTCAAAGTGACAATTAGATACATTTCAGAGAAGTAGTTTTTCCAGTTTTTCCTTACTGTAAACTTCTGGACAGCTTTTTCTAAAACTCATTGCTTCCAGTTGGCCCATTTTCACATTGCTTTTTGCTCATGAATAATGCTTTCATGGACCCCTACTAAAGACTTTCTGGTTTCTAGAAAATAGTTAAGATTCTTTGATAGTGACTATTTTTAAAATTTATTGATTTTGGGGGGAGTTTTAACCTTACCTACATTCCTGATACGTCATCCCCCGGCCATCTGACAGTGTTGCAAGGATGGATTGAAAGAGGGAGAGACTGGATGCAGGAAGACCAGATTGCATGCAGAAAGTCACATTGTTTATCACTTTAAGGTTTATTTACCTATTTCTTCACACAAGAACCAAGTTATATACAGAGATTCTAGGGCAGAGGATAGATTACAAGGGATCAGTGAACTTGGATAGGAAAAAAAATTACATCTTTATTTTCACTAACCTTTGAATCCAATTTACTTTATTTTTATGTGTTTAAAAAAATTCAATTCCAGAAAGGTGTCTGGAGGCTTCACCAGGCTGCCTAAAGGATCCAGGGCACAAAAACAGTTAAGAACCACTGTTCTAAGGAATTTTATTTTAGAAATAATTGAGACTTAACTTGGACTGAATGTTTGGTTGTTTATGAACCTAAAATAATTTCCTGAGATAATTTCTTCATGAGTGGTACTGTCATTCAGGAAATGCAGTGCATTGTCCTCTAAGAATCTAGTTTTGAAATTAAAGTATATATTTAATGTATTTGGGGGTATTTTTCCCCCTAGGACTGATGGAGAAGAACAAATACGAGTTAGTTTGAACTGTACCCAGAAAGCATTGCTGCGAGTGGTGGCTTTTCTCTCTGAAAATAGTCATCTTTATCAGAAGACTGAGATCCTGTCGCTGGAGAAAGTAATAAAAATTTATGTTCTTTTCTTTCATTTCAAAGTTTGGGTTGATGACTTTTAATACAAACAGAAATTGTTATATTAATGGGTTGTTAGCTAACTAGAGACTTAAGTTTCTAAGAGACAAAATAGCAGTAATATGAATTTCCCCTTTTTTCTGATTAATAAGTTTTAATTGAGTTGAATGACAATCAAGAACTTCATCCTGATCTGTACTACTATACTCACTATGATGAATATATTTACTTTTAGCCTTCATAAACAAAAAAGCTACCTCATATTTACAAGCAAAAATAAATATCAAAATACATTCATGTTTGTCATTAAGTAACTAATAATCCAAGGCACCAGGACAAACATAATACCAGTTCTTCTTATAGATAGCACTTCATTTCCTGAATCTACAGAGTGACAGATATGAAGAAGGCAGAAGGGAAACACAAAAGAGAAGCCTGTGTATTAGACTCTGTTAGAAAGGGAAAATATATACTTCACAAGTATATTTTGAAATGTAAGTATACATAAGTACTAACAATTCCTTCTGTAAAAATATAATAATTTTCTTTCTGGAAAACATGTTCAAAGAGGGAGACATCCTAAGAATGTACCTTAATAGTGACCTGAGTACCTACAGCCTTTGAAAATGTTGTTTCTCTTCAGCCCCTGCTTCTGAATACTGGGATGGGAAGATTATGCACACTGGCTGAATCTGTCTCCTTGGCAATCATGATCAAACGAATCAAAGGTCACCTAAAGCTGCCCCATGTTCGCCTAGCTCTTGGAGTAGGGAAGACTTTAGGTAAACAACATGTACATTTCGGTATGCCAGTTTGTACGGTAGGAGAATCGCTCAACCGATAATTTCTCTGGGGGTAACATTAAAACTCTTGGATGGATTCATCCTAGTGAAAAAAATGAAAGACTTGGTAGCAGCTCATGAGTGATGGTTTTTAAAATAAAACAAGTGATTAGTTAAATCTTAACAGTTCTGGATATACCTTAGTGAAATGATACTGGTGATCTAACCTAGTCTGTGATTCTTATGCTGATTTTTCCTCTCTCTTGGCTTCTCCCAGGACTCTGGGGAACCAAACAGTTACACTGAAGTAGGCATAAGAAAATTCTGCCTTAAATGAATTGTAGGTTAAACCCATCCACAAGAAACAATTAAAGGACTTTCAGCCTGAGGCTCAGTGAGTGGATTTTTGGATTATAGATTCTTGGTACTTTAGGAGATTGAATATTAAAAGAAAACATGGCCAAACTTAACAAAAAACCCTTCTTCTAAGCTGCAAAGTTGTGTATAATTAAAGTAAAATTTAAAGTAAAATCAACTTGGGATAATTTTTTAAAAAGTTTTTTCAATTAAATATTTATTCTGGTTCTATTCACTTTCCTCTGCATCAATTAATACAGGTTTTCTCAGGTTTCTTTGCAACTATCCCCTTCATCATTTCTTACGCCACACAATAGTACTCTATTTCATCCATAATTTGTTCAGTCATTCCCCAGTTGATTCATACCCCTATAGATTCCAATTCTTTGCTCCTCCAAAAGGGCTGCTACAAATGTTTTAGAACAGATGAGTATTCTTCCCTTTTTTGGGGGGAACAGACTAAGGGAATAGTATCATTAACACTGAGTCAAGAGTATGCAGTCTAATAACTTGCAGTATAGTTCCAGATTGCTTTCCAGAATGGCTGCACTAAATATGACTGTTTTCCCTCAGCCCCTCCAATATTTGTCATTTCCCCCTTTTTGGGGTCAACTTTGCCAATCCAATGGGTGTGAAGTGCAACCTCAAAGTTATTTTAATTTGTATTTCTCTAATTATTAGTGATTTGCAGCTTGTAGTTCAAATTAGTAATCTGGATTCTAGTCCCGACACCCACATTTGATTCACTAACCTCAAAGTTATCCTCCTAATGTTCTCATCTGTAAAACTACAGTAATGGCTTACATTCCTACCTTACAATTTTGTGGTAAACGTAGGAAAAAAATAAGTCAGAAGATGTATAGTATAGTAGTGCTTTGAAAATTATGAACTGCTTTACAAATATAAGGTAGTGGGGCTGTTATTAAGAGGCTCATTGTATACTGTTCTATATGGGAGAGATTATTTCTTCTCCAGTTCTGAAGGGATAGTCTTCTGCTTTTATGGGTCCCATCATCTAAGCTCAAGGAAAATTGTGCATATATATTGTGAACCAAAATTATTTTATTATTTAGGACACCAAGAGATAGATAACACTGCATTTGGATTCACAGTTAGTGCTAAGCTTATTATTAAGACAAAAGTGATAATTTGTTTTTTATTTGCTGTTTCTTAAAGAGTCGCAAATCAAAGTAGTAGCTTTGTGTGCTGGTTCTGGGAGCAGTGTCCTTCAGGGTGTGGAAGCAGATCTTTACCTTACAGGTATGCATGGCATCCTCTGTGGTTGCTCTAGTTCCTTTCTCTTCATCCTGCAACCCCCTTCTTCCCCCATGTAGGACTTAAAATAAATAGTTCAGAATAGCTTGTTTTACAAAAGCAACTGCACTCAAACTGCCAGGAGAACTAATGTTTCTTGTGGAAGGAAGAAGCCATCTAAACATTTATCATTAAAAAATGATCACTCACTAGAAGTGAGAGTCAGTATTTTAAGACCTTTGATGTACAGGGCCCATTACGGAATTACTGGTCTCTTAGACAAGAGCAGACCATCTTCAGGACACAAGCCTAGCACTTCTACCCAGTAGCTGCCCTCCTGTCTTTGATTTAAAGATTTAAAGAAATCTATTATCCAAAACTCAGTGCTGCCAGCTGCCTCCTGTTTTATCCGTGGGGTTTGGAGAGTCATTTTAAAGGAGCATTGGATAGTGTGGGGTGGAACTGGCCCAGTGAAAAGTCCAGACTGGGAAGACAGAAGAGTGTAGCAGAGAAGAGGAACTGAAGGTCAGGGAGATGATGTCATCACTGAAGCTATCACTTCTTGATACTTATGCCACAGAAGGGAAGAAATTATGCTATTCAGTTGAGAGGCTTGAGTTTCCCCATTCCATACCCAGAAGCTCAGTAACACCTTCATAAATACTCCCATCAAGTTTTATATCACATAAGATAACAAGATTCTCTGCAGCTCAAGTGCCATCCCCTCTATGGTTAATTTCTGGCTATTCTGTGTGTCTCTTGTGTGCTACATATGTCATCTCCTCTCCTCCAGCAGAATTTAAGTTCTATGTAATATTCTAATGGAAGTCAGGGACTGTTTTTGTTTTTCTTTATGGTCTTAGTGCCTTGTACATAAGAGTTGCTTGTTCATTGATTTTTTTTTTAAAGAACTTGGCTTTAAAAATATTTAGCAGTAATGCCATAAATGGCCACAAGATGGGGATATTGTTCTCAAGTCAGTTTTGACCAGTTTTTGCTTTTCTCTCTCTTCTAACTAAATTAGCAGCTGTAACATTTGGAGGTAGAAGGATCTGAGAGATCATTTCATTCAAACCTGAGTTGTCCATTGTCTCTCCCTGTTCCTCTTACTGTATTTTCCATTAAGCAGGTATTTGATGTGAAAGACATATCCTGTTTTGGTAGCTGCTTTTTCCTCTCAAGCCTTTTTTTTTCTCTGTCTCCTGTATTCCTCTTCCTTAACTTCACATTTAGGGGAGACCTCACACCAGCACCCTGCTCAGGTTCGATTAGATATGGCCCTCATGAGTCATTGATCAGTTTTAAAAAGGAAATTTACTTTGCCCTAACACAAGGAGATACAACAGGGATATAGTGACACTAAAAATTCTATAGATACAGCCTCTCTCCCTCTATCTCTATATGAAAATATATCTTGTCAGCTGGGTAGGGTATAGTTACTCCCATGGTTTTCAGGCATCCATAATTTGGAGGGGCCCTTATTGCACACGGAACTTTTAATACTATAGGTGACCATGAAGCTGCTCAAGGGAAGACAGAGATTAATCAGGACAGCTGTGTTGCCTTTCATGGAAAACTAATCCCTGTTTTGCAGAAATAGGGGAACCTTGATCCTAACACAGCATGGTATAGCATTGAAGGATTTTTAATTCTTTAGAGTTAAGTGTTCTCAGTTTTAAAAGTACATATGGCAAAAGCGCATAGGATTTTCTCATTAAGTAAATATCAAATAGCTACAGTGTATAAGGCACAATGAAGAATACAAATAACATGAAGTGTACCTTCCCCCACCCCCTTCACATATTTTACAATCTAAAAGAGAAGTATAGAAGGAAAACTATACTGCACTCTGCATTTTAGGCATAAATCTGCCTGGCAGAAACAGTTTTTATTAGTTTATGATTATTCTAAATCTAAGCATTTTTTTCTACAAGGAGAAATGTCCAAACTGAGTTTCTTTATGTTTTCTGACATCTCTCTAAAGCAAGTCATTTTGAAGTCACATTTTATAGCGTTCTTGAACACTTGAATTATTTCCACCATTCACTGCCTTCACTCTTGCACACAGACGATTCAATGAAGGTGGAGAAAATCACAACCATTCTAAGTGGGTTCACTATAAATCTGTGTTACACCTCAACTGGGCCCTTACTGCTGCTAGCCAATCCTACTGTTACCTCTTTTGTCAACTCACTATCCCACTCTCCACAGTGGCTCTTCCAGAACTTTTCATCCTCCTCAAACGGCTCTCCTTCCCCACTCTTTATCTCACTTGTTTTTAATATCTTCCCCTCTACTGGCTTCTTCCTACTGCCTACAAAACCCCTCATTTGAGTCTTTCATCTCTGCTAACTCTCTTCCTATATCTCTTCTGTCCTTTGTGGCTTAACTCCTTGAAAAGGCCATCTACAGTAGGAGCATCCATTTTTTCTCCTCTCATTCTCTTCTTAACCCCTGACATTTGCCTTCCAACATCATTCCATCAAAACTGTTATCTCTAAAGTTACCAGTGACCTCTTAATGGTCAAATCCAGTTGCCTTTTCTCAATCTTCATTTTTTTTTACTTCTCTGTAGCCTTTCAATTTATAGATCACCTTTTTCTCCTTTCTATTCCCTCCTTTCTAAGTTTTTGAAACACCACTTTCTCCTGGTTCTCTTCCTACTTATTTGTTTTTTCTTGGTTTCCTTTGCTGGACCCAAGTCACTTCCACTAACCCCGAGTGACCCACAAGGCCAAGTCCTGGGCCCACTTCTCTTCTCCCTCTATATACACCTGTTTGTCTCATCAGTTCCCATGGATTAGAGACAAAGATAGAGATAACATCTCTAAGCTAATGACTTTCAGATCTACCTATCCGGACCTAACCTAATATCTATACTGACCTTCAGTCTTTCATCTCCAACTATCTTTAAAACATTTTAAACTGGATGTCCGGTAGCCAACTTAAACTCAACATGTCCAAAACTGAACTCCTCATTTCCCCCCTAAAGCTTCCTCTCTTCCAAACTTCTTACACCATTATCATCCCAGTCATCCAGGCTCATAACCTAGGAGTCATCCTTGACTCCTCACCATCTCTCACCCCTATATCCAATTTGATGCCAAGGCCTGTTGATTTCACCTTTGCCACACTCCTGAATACACCCCCTTCTTTCCTCTGACACTGCTACCACCCTGGTACAAGACTTTTGACCTCATAGCTAGACTACTGCAGTAGCCTTCAGTTGGTTGGCCTGCCACAAATCTTTTCTCTGCTTCAGTCCATCCTCCATTTAGCCACTAAAGTGATTTTCCTAAGGTACAGGTCTAACCATGTCATCCACTCCTCTCAGTAAACTCCAGTGGCTCCCTATCACCTCCAGGATCAAATACAAAATCCTCTATTTGACATTCAAAATCTTTCATAACCTAGTTCCCTCCTACCTTTCCAGGTTTCTTACGTCCCCCAGGTACTCTCTGATCCAGTGACCCTGGCCTCCTGGCCATTGCATGAACAAGATACTCCATCTCTCAGCTCCAGGCATTCTCTCTGTCTCCCAGCTAGGAATGTTTTCCTTCATAAACTTCACCTACTGGCTTCCTGGCTTCCTTTACATTCCAACTAAAATCTCACCTTCTATAGGAAGCCTTTCCCAGCTTTTCATTCTAATGCCTTCCCTCTGTTAATTATTTTTTTCCTCTGTATAGCTTGTTTGGACATGTTTATTTGCACATTGTCTTCCCCAGAAGATTGTGAGGTCCTTGAGAGCAGGGATGGTCTTTTGGGTTTTTTGTTGTTGTTTTTTTTGGTGTGTGTGTGTGAGGCAGTTGGGGTTAAGTGACTTGCCCAGGGCACACAGCTAGTGTCATGTGTCTGAGGCCGGATTTGAATTCAGGTCCTCCTGACTCCAGGTCTGGTGCTCTATCCACTGCGCCATCTAGCTGCCCCAAAAGGTCTCCTTTCTAGCTAGTCAAAGAGACATCTTTCTTCATCCCTTCCAGGCATGGGAAAAGAGAGAGTGCTCCTAGGTGGATCTTCAAAGCTCCTCCAGGGCTTTGGGAAAATGCTACCATGTAGCTTAGAAGTAGAAGAGGAAATAATATTTGGAGTTCAGAATTCAGAGAGATTAATTTTGGCTTCAGGCTGGGTGGGTAAATGAGAAAAGTGATAAAATCAGGAAGGTTTCATACAGAAGGTAGCATAAGGGGCTGCCTAGGTAAAGATTGGGAGGAATGGCCTACCCCATAGACGGAGACATGATACAAAAGTGGAGAGGCAGTAAGCAGTCACTTCGTGCCTGGCTCAGTCAGTATAGACGATTTTTATTTCTGATACGAAAAGCAATGAATAAATTCACCTTCAGATCCTAAAAGTATGTATTAAGGAACTGAAGATAATTGGTAACAGATAAGATAATTAGATGAGCTAGATATAGATAGGTACAGACACATAATTAAATATACACAGGGATGGATGGGCTTACAGTAAAACAAGTATCTTGCCTGTGTTGTTCAGAAAAGCTCTCAGTACTACAAGGATGGGCTAGAACAGAAGTATGTTCCTGTCTGTGTTGTACTGGAGGGACACCACTTCTGTAGTTTCCAAGGTGATGGGCATCTCCCTTCTGTGCTGATTATCTCTTAGTCCTCCCAGAGCAACTGAAGATGAAGTTGGAAGTTAAGGCCAGGCAAGGCAAAACACTGATTAATCACTTGTTCTGTGTGAGCTGATCAGCTTTCCCAAGCCACTGCGGGGCTGCGTTTTTTATCTCCTGAAGGAAGCTATAACAGTTTCCAGTGCATCCTTCCATGCTTTGCGATTTGCCAATTTGTGCTGTTGGAATGTTCCAAAGATTGCCTACTTGACCCTTAAGTATTTATTTCACCTGGGTTATCTCTCCTTTTGACAGGTGAGATGTCACACCATGATGTCCTCGATGCTGCTGCCCAAGGGATAAGTGTCATTCTTTGTGAACATAGCAACACTGAACGAGGCTTCCTGTCAGAACTTCAGGACACACTGGCAGCCCACCTAGAGAATAAGGTCAACATTATCTTGTCAGAGAAAGACAGAGACCCTCTTCAGGTGGTATGAAACAGCCCAGGACCATCTGGGATACTGCATTACATAAATCCATTGATCCTAAAGAGGCCGCACTCAGGAACAAAAGTTGGTCCACCTCAAAGTAGTCTACCCTATAATGGTTCATTTTTAGGTAGTCTGGTGAACTGTCTAAGTGAAGGCTAACGCAACTGCTTTATTAAAACAAAGGATGTTTGCTACAAACCCCAATAAAGAATATGGAAATCAGCTTCTGAAAGCATTATTGGAAGGTAGCTTCAAGTCATGTAATACTTTGCTTCACTGACATTTCTCTCAGTGTTAGCTTATGATTTTACTTAAAATATTATATACTACACTACTGTAAACATAAGCTCATGGAGGGTAATGACCTTCCTTTTCACAGAATCATTCATCACTGAGGAAATTAAAATTTTATATTATTTAATAATTGATTCTATTCTGTAATTAACTCTGTTCCCCATTTTTTCAAGCCACATTTCTCAGTTCTGGAGTCAAGGTCAAGCACGTGGTGTTTCTAGTCCAAACTGGTTTGAAGGTGTGGTTGAAAGGGAGGGAATGTCATCACTCATGTAGTTAGCCTCTGGGACATTTTATTGTTGTCTGTAAGCTCCAACCAGCTTAAGCTGCTGTCATCCCTCAAAAGACAAATCATCAGTCCTTGCCTGTCCTTGTGCAGTTAGGGTAGGCTTGAGCTCCACCAAGGGGTATCACAGTGGGTGGTTCTGGTCCCCTAACCAAGACAAGAGGCAACTGAGTCCTATAGAACAATATTCCTTAACTGTCACAGAGGAGCGTGATTAGCCATACCAGAAAGCCAACCCATTCCCTACCACCCCCACCCCTTCCCGTGTGTCAAAAAAGAGGATTCCCTCCCATTGGGGTTGCTGGCCTTACTGAGGTGGTCACTCTGACCTATTCTGTTAACATTACACACGTCACTGTTAATAAAGCCACCTTCTATAGTTTTAGTTGTTCAGTCGTGTCTACACTTGAGATTTTCTTGGCAGAAATACTAGAGTGGTTTGCCATTTCCTTCTCCAGCTCATTTTACAGATGAGGAAACCAAGGCAAATAAGGTTAAGTGACTTGTCCAGGTCACACAGCTAGTAAGTATCTGAGGCCAGATTTGAACTCTGGAAGATGAGTCTTCCTGACTCCAGGCCCAGCACTCTTATCTGCTGTGCCACCTAGCTGCCCTTCTACAGTAAGGCTTTCCTAATCCCCACAAGAGCCAGTCAAAAGCCCAGCAAGCTCAAGCTATGGGCAGACTTCCTTCCCCTGCTTCTTCCCTATTGCCCATATTCCAACAGGCACTGTATATCCCTATCTTGCTAGATACTTATCCCTGCCAGGAGTATCTTAGAGCCCAGCATCATTCTGATTCACTCCTCCTTTCCTGTAGTTGTTAGGGACTTGGTTTCTCACATTGATTGGATGACAGGGGAAGAAGGGAAGTCACCAATTACAGTCCTGAGGGTAAGATGATGGACCACTGACTGGGATTTAATATTTGCCCTAATATGGTTCCCTCAAGTCTAGCAGACCTACCATCTATCTGTCTTGAAGCTGAATCTCCTTTACGTCACCTCCACCCATTAAAGGTAAATTCCTTGGAAAGGGCTTTTTCCTTTGTGACCCAACACTTAGCACAGTGCATGGCACTGTTTTCTGAGTAACAGGCTGCTTAATAGATCTCCACAACTGTACTGACTGGATCCATTATAAATTCATGTTATCCAGCTTCAATTGAGCCCTCTCTGTAGCAAGGCCGACCTTTTGTTATTCCCAAACTGATTCCCCATCTCAGACCCCAGAGAAACTCTTCCAAATATTCATTCCTCTCTCCCTCCCTCGGCTGAGGAACCTGCCTCTTACTTGATTGAGAAAACTGAGGCCTTTTGATGGAAGCTCACTCTTTCTCTGTTCTCTTCACCCTAAACCCCCTGACATCATTTCCCACTCTCTCTTCCTTTTCCCCAGCCTCTGTATTCAGGTGGCCCTTCTCCTGGCCAAGGCCAACCCTTCCATATGTATGCTTGATCCCATCCTCTACAGTTTTTTTCCATTACATTACAACCTCAATCATTCTGCCTTCTATTTAATCTGCAACCTCTTCCTACCTGATTCCTTCCCTACTGCCTTCAGACTTGCCCAAGTTTCCTCTATCTTTTAAAAATACTTACTCTTTTTCCTACCATCCCCTCAAGCTATCAACCTAAATCTCTCCTCCTTTTCTCAACCAAACTCTCTGAAAAGGCTGCCAAGGCTGCCTCCACTTTCTTTCCTCACCCCTTTGTAATCTAGTCTCCATGCCTCAAGCTCCTCCCCATGCCAGTATATCGAACACATGGCTGCCAAAGGAACTTTAAGAGCAGACTGGACCATATCACTTCTCTACCTATACTCAAGTGGCTCCCTATTTCTTCTAAAATAAACTATAAACTCCCCTGTTTAGCTTTAAGCATTCCACAACCTGGCCCAAACTAATTTTTCCAGCCTTAGTAGGTTACCTTCGTAGCCAATCTAGCCTCTCCCTTCTCACACCCTCCGCCTCCCATCTTCCTGCCTTTGCACTGGTGTGCCTGGAAGACATTCCTGCCTCACCACTTCCTTCAAGAGGCATCCCTTCTGGGTAGGCAGGTGGCACAATGGATAGGGCATTGACCCAGGAGTCAGGGGGACCCAAGTTCAAATTCAGCCTCAGATACTTACTAGCTGTGTGACCCTGGACAAGTCACTTAATCCTGACTGCCTTCCCTACCACCAAGAGAAAGAAGCTTCCCTTCCTCACCTGCTTCCCCTCTTCTACTGCCAACACTTTTTGCTGACATACTCCCCTCCCAAATTACCTTGTATTTAATGTCTTTGTTTTCTTGACAATTATTTTTAATATGCGCGTGTGTGTGTGTGTGTGTGTGTGTGTGTGTGTGTGTGTATATATATATACATATATATGTATATGCACATATGTACTTGTCTTGCCCATTAGAATGTAAGATTTTCGTGAGCAGGGATTATTTCATTCCTTTGTATCTCCAGAGCATGGCACATAATAGGCACTTAATATATCCTTGTTAATTGACACTGAATCTCTTATAATGCAAAGCCACTGAAAAGGATTCTTTACTTTCTACATGAAGTTTTTAATTATATTTGCTTTCCCCAGAAAGTTGCATAGATGGCTAAATAATTGCAAAGATTAAGGAGCTCACTGAATTCCTAAGTAAATTCTAAGGAAAGCCTGGCAAAAACCTAGCCATTACCACAACACTTTGCTTTCCAAATATCTGTAACATGCATTAAAAACATGGTAAGCTCAGCTAAGCCAACTTCAACTTATTGTGTATGTGTAAGTTTTCAAGTGGAGCAGCTAGAGAAACTAGTTTGTTCTCCCTTTTCTAAACTATATAACTGCTCTGTGGAAAAAAAGCTAATATGCAGGTAGCACTGCTAATGATCAAAAAAGGAAAAAAGTAAGGTACTAAACATGAAATCCTCCCAAATAAATCCATCTACACATAAGTTTATTCATTCCCGAAGAATTACTACCACAGCTGCCCATCATGTGTTACCTGATGGGTTCAGGGTGGACTTTCAAGAATCATTCTGTCTCATAGAAAGCAGAAGATACATGCTGAAGCATAACTAGCAAAAGTCAGATGAAAGTTATTTCAAGGATCTACTTTTTAAAAAGACATGTCCAGCAATAACAATATCTAGAACACAGGTTCTTAACCTAAGGTCTATGAACTTTTAAATGCCATATTATTTTATGCATTTAAAAACATTATTCTGAAAAAGGGGTCCACAGGCATCATCAGCCTGCTAAATGGGTCCGTGACAAAAAATGGTTAAGAATTTATGATTTAGAATAACATTTAAAGAGTACTGGCCTTGCAACACATTTTTTAAAAGTTTTCTAATAAGTTTCTATAAATTTCCTTATGCATCTTTCTTATACTAGAAACATTTAAGCAAATCCAACTGGCTCAATAACTAAGTTTAACAATACCCCAATTCCACATCTGTAGCTTCCACCACTTGAAGAAGAGGAAATTTCAAAAAATTTCAAAAGGTTCTCTTCCTTCATGTACATTTTAGTTGAGTTTTCCCAGTATATACATGATAATACTGTTGAAAGGTTGCTTTCTGATCCAGCCTCAGACCAAACACTTGTGACACTTACTAGCTGTGTGACCCTGGGCAAGTCACTTAACCCCAACTGCCTTTAAAAAAAAAAAAGAAAAAGGCAGGTTTTAGAGGCAGCTAGGTGGCACAGTGGATAGAGCACCGGCCCTGGAGTCAGGAGGACCTGAGTTCAAATGTAACCTCAGACACTTGACACTTACTAGCTGCATGACCCTGGGCATGTCACTTGACCCCAACTGCCTCACCAAAAAGCAAAAAAAAAAAATTGCTTTCCGGTGCTCCTCTTTATGATTCTTTATGATTATTATTACTATTATTGTTACTACATTTTATTAATATGTACTTAGCACCATGTACAAGGTCAGTACTTTAAAGATTCTATGTTCAGGAGCAGCTAGGTGGTGCAGTGGATAGAACACGGCCCAGGATTCAGGAGGACCTGAGTTCAAATCCAGCCTCAGACACGTAACACTTACCAGCTGTGCGACCCTGGGCAAGTCACTTAACCCTATTTCCTAGCCAAAATAAAAAACAAAAAAACAAAAGAAATAGATTCTATGTTCATCAGTGTGAGCATTTCCTTTACCAGTACAGGGTTATGACTCCTCTAAATTTAACTCAGTCTTCTAGACTTTTTGTGGATGAAAAACTCAAGTCCCCTGAAACCAACCTGCTAAAATCAGACTGGTTCTCAAGAAACCTAGGGTTGTTATCCTTGGATCTGATGGTAAAGCCCTTTTCAGTTTCACTGGACCTGCCAGAGTTTACATTTGACTGACACAGCCTCTGGGAATTCTGGGTCACTTTCATGTCTCAATAAGGCATGAGGATTTTTGGAGTTTCCTCTTTTCAGGGCCATGATCTATTTCAGAGACCCAGGAACTTACATGAGTGAAGGTGAGGAAGTAACATCAAATAGAAGCAAGCATAAGAGATAGAGGCAGGTACTCATCTATGAAGGTGATTGCCTGGCCTTCCAAGCCCATTACATACACATTCTACAGGCTTCACGTTACTTTTTTATGTCTTTCTTTCCCTTTTCCTCCGTCAAGTCTGCTCCTATTCATCTTAGCCACATTTCATCAACATAAAAATGGTCACTGAAGGTGTCCTTCACAATGATGTTTGGACTTACATTCCCCCTTGGAGACAGCTCAATTAAAAAAACCAAGTGGGCAGTTAGGTGGCGCAGTGGATTACAGCACTGGCCCTAAAGTCAGGACGACCTGAGTTCAAATGCGGCCTCAGATACATGATACTCACTAGCTGTGTGACTCTGGGCAAGTCACTTAACCCCAACTGCCTCACCAAAAAAAAAAAAAAAACCAACAAACATTGCAAACCTCTTAGTAGTCATCTATTCACAGACTAGCCAATGTAACTACTTTAAAGTATCTGACAGTAAGCTGGTGTTTTCTACACTAACAAACTGAATTAAAACATTGAATATATTGGTAAATGATACAATTCTGTAAGCTGATTGACAAAATAGATCTGGACGTTCTACAAGAGGTGGAATGACAAGACCTCTGTAACTCTAGTTTTCCACAAAACAGGTATCTGAGATTCTTCCTCTACTTTCTTTAATACCTAAGAAGAAAAGCCCCACTAAACATCCATGAGGTATTTATTTCATGTTTTATTTCATTTACTGCCAAGAAGCAAAAAAAAAGATATCCACTTTCATTAATGGAAATAAAGTTTAAAAACAGTATTATCAAACCACTTACCTGTATGTTATGAAAGTGATGAACTACAGTTAAGAAAAAGTCAAAATACAGGAATACTGAAATTTTTTATTCACCAGTGAAATGGTTAAAACTTAATCAAAGAGTTCAGTTCCTGTTCTAGTCTGGTCTCCCACTTGTGTCAGATAACAGACACTCACTGTTGTTTGTGTGCCCCTCTGTAAGGAGGACACCCTATATATTCCTTCCACCCATCTTTCACATTTCTTCCCCCCCACAAATAAATAATGTCTCCCCCACTCCTCTCCCATCTAGTATAAATCCAAAAGGGTGGAAAAGAACCATTTTCTGTTCCTTCCAAAATCTACACTTGTTTGCTGCTTTAAAACAACACAGCAAAAACAGCAATAAAAACTACTTTTTAAATTCTGTCATTGCACACAGCAGTTCAGCGATACAGACCTGCAGACGAAACAGATTTAGTGGATACTCATACCTCAGTAGTTCACACACTGGAACCAGCATGCTTGCAAACAGTCAAGTCTGGAACTGTTTAAAAGGGCCCTTGGAAAATTAAGGATATCATCTTCCCTAGTATAAAATGAAATCCAAAACCTTCAGTTTCGAACACTCCCTGAGCAAACTGCTCTATCCAGCCAAGAGTCTCCAGAGAGGTAATAAATGAAAGGCACATTTTCTCCAGTTTGAGCATTTAGGCATTGTACTTGAGATGGCATCACTTAAGCAGATCATTCAAACCAATCAAAAGAATTGAATTTGATGATGTGTCCAAAGTTTTAAATCTTGCATGCTGGAAAAATAATCTACTGCTGGTAAGTAAACATAGCGCTTTTGGTTACAGAGGCAGCAAGTGCAGCACAGGTCCCTCTATAGCGGCCCTTTATGTAGTTGTCCAAGGAGATTCGTGTTCAAAGGAAATCTTTAAGCCTCTTTGTCCTCTTTTTCCAAGAAATCAGTTAAGGTCCCAGTGTCAATAGGAATTAACAAATACTCTACTCCATCCGTTCCCTAAAGTATACAAAAACAAAATCAGGATTAGGCTGGAGCAAATGAGAGTGACAGTTCATCTGAACAACAAACTACATTTTACAAAATTCCACTTAAAAAAAAAATTGGGGGGGGGAGGGCAGTGAGGCAATTGGAGTTAAGTGACTTGCCCAGTGTCTAGTGTCAGGTCTGAGACTGGATTTGAACTCAGGTTCAACTGACCCCAGAGCCAGTGCTCTATCCACTGCGCCACCTAGCTGCCCTAAAATTCCACTTAAATATAAAAATATAGGGTAAAATATACAGCAAATAGATAGCCATAGGCCTGGATTCAGGAAGACTTGAGTTCAAATCTAGCCTCAGATAGTTAACTCGCTATGACCCTGGGCAATTCACTTAACCCTGTCTGCCTCAGTTTCTTCATCTGTAAAATCAGCTGGAGAAGGAAATGGCAAACCATTCCAGTATCTTTGCCAAGAAAACTCTAAATGGGGTCATGAAGAACTGGACATGACTGAAAACGACTGAACAACAAAAAACAAATGGAAACAAGCTCTTGCTCTGTCAGAGACCACATGTGGCCACCTCCCACACACAAGGAGTTAACATCTTCCTTCTATAATAAAATAACCATATTGTATCAAGTTTTTAATTTCCTTACACTTCAAGCTCTATTAAGAAAGTTAAAATATACAAGTTCCCCAAAAATTGCCAGGAACACACCAAATGAAACACACCCTTTGCAGATCTATTGAGGGGAAAGCAGTGTTGCAAGAAAGGCAGAGGAGGTTTGATTGTAGTTTTTATGTTCATTTAACACCAAGCTGATTATCCATTTGTTCTACTGTATGCTGTCAAGGCCAACGTACTGCACTGCCCATTTTTCAACTGCATCTGCACAGGGGCTCAGTACATCTTTGATAACAAGTTTAGGGATTCTTTGTGGTCTAACCAGGCTACACAATGCATAGTTAGACTTAATCCCTGGAAGCCCTTTTCTCCTAGTCCCCTAAGCTACAATACCAAGACTCACCTTCTTTGTTCTTAGAAGCTTATGATCCCTGAATTCAGTTAGTTGTGCCCGAAGTGTCAGGTCACTGTTAACAAGAAATGCTTCCCGACACTGCTGGTAGAAATCTTGAAAAGAAAGCCCTGGGGAGTTAGACAGTTGAGATCCAAGGTAAGTAAGCAGGAAGAAAGGATTCCACTGACATCCAAGCTAAAACCAGAGTGAAGATGTGCATCCTCATAAGGTCCTTGCTGCAGTCAAGTAAGTTTTCAACAAAAGTTCATTAAACATGTATTAGTTAAACAACTCTTTGTTCTAGGTACAGTGCTAGGTGCTCTTAGGGTTACAGGTTTCTGCCTTCAAAGAGTTTACAATCCAAGTATCAAGTTTACTCAATCAAATAAATATACAAAGTACAGGGTGATAAGTACATCAGAGACATGAACAAAGTGATATAAGAGTTCAGAAGATGGAGAGAATACTATTGTTAATAGTAAACATGCAACTCTTCAGATGAGGAAAAGCTGGAGAACATTTCACCTTGTACAATGTCACACATCCTTTGAAAAAGGCAAATACATGTGAATATTCTCAGCTGCATGAAACTAAACAGGAGTACTTAAATTAAGAGAATTGTTGTGAGATAGCTAAGAGCTGAAAAACTATCTCCTAGAAATTTTGGCCTAAATAATATATTTTCTTTTCTTTCAATGTGGAGGCAAATCTCTTAAAGCCTATCAAATATACCATAAAGCATTCACTAAATTTTCCCTTAATAATGAAAATTCTTTATGAAAAATATAAGATTGGTTGACATACCCCACGTCAATGTGTGTAACTTGAAAAATTAGAGCACATCTTCCTTCGTCATCTACTTAAGGTTGGCAAAAAGCCTAAAAGTATACGTGAAAATATGAAATGTACACTATACTAATTTATCAGTCTTGAAAATGTCCAGGGCTTTTAAACGATATGGTGCTAGAATTAGTTAAAAGAAAATTGAATTAATGAGGTGACCTATTAGAAAGAAGCCATAAAACATAAACACTATATGCCTACCTATATAAGAAGGGTTATCTTCATTCTCTAGTTGATACTTTATTAGGAGTCTAAAAATCCCCCTAAGGAAAAAGAAATGCAATTAAACCACGTTAAATCCCTCAGTAATGTTAATATTAAGATATTCATTCAGCAAACATTTTTAATCACTTAATATGTGCAAAGCATTTAGCTAAGGGCTAGAAGAGATGCAAAGATAAATAAGGCATAACCCCCATTTATTCATTATTCATTTGTTGTATGATTATCTTAAGAAGCTACAATTTAATAGGAAAAAGAAGACAAGTACATAAAATATTATAAGTCGACGTTAAAAAGTGCATATATAAGAGCAGTAGAAACAAGCCACTAAGAAAATCCTAAAAGAAAAATAATTTCCAAATGGAGTAATCAGGGTAGCAGTGGCACTTCAGCTGAGATTAACAGGTAACAGTGAGGACCTGAGAAGATGGAGGAGCATACACTAACCATAGAAAATGAAATAAGCAATGGAAGAGATGAGAAAGTACATGTGTTCATGGAATAGTGAAGTGTCAAGCATATCACAGGGTGTAGTGATATTGGCCTCAAAGGTCAGCTAGAGCCAGGCTAAGGAGTTTGGATTTTACTTGGTCAAGGAAAAGAGAAAGATCACCAAAGGGAAAGAACCACTATCCAAAAACAAAACAAACAAAAAATGTGGGAGGCTAGGTCCATAGGAGCCATGAGCTGCTAGTGGGGCAAGGGGGTTGACAAGAGGAAGTATGAAACCCAGGCTCCCCACTCCCTCTATTCCACCCAGATCTTCTCTTACCTCCCCGTCCGGGAAGCCCTACCTACAGTCACTTTTGAGTCCTTGATCACACTCCTGCCCCCCTAGCCTAGTTCCCAATGTCTTTCCATCTCTCTGAGCCTTGCCCCCCCAATCCCAGTGTGTCCCCCAAGTTTTCTCCAGAGTCACCTGCTCTCTGTTACTGGAAAAAAAAATGGATCCCATCCCCTTGGAGTGAATGGGATTGTGATACTGGGCAAAAAGAACAAGCCCTAAAATATCCACTTGATTCCTATTTTGATTCCATTTTCTCTTCCAACAAGAATGATCTTTAGACTAGGAAGTTTAAATAGAAAAAATAAACCTAAGATAAATGGGATGACATTAAGAGGGCACCTCCTTTGATTTCAAGTCACTAGAACCAGATGAACCATATCAAACAGAACTGAAATTAGTTGAACGATCAAGTCCAAACAGTAGTCACTGAAAAGCTCATCAGTCAACTTAGGGAGTATTATTTCTCTAGTAGAGTGTCCATGGGATCAGTCCTTGGCTATTCAACATTAGCTTGATAACTCTGATAAAGGGATGGATAGAATCAGTTTGGCAGATCACATAAACCAGGAATAGCTAAGATGCTAGATGAAACAGTCAGTATCTAAAAAGACCTTGACAAGCTGTAACAATGATCTGAATCTAAGAAGACAGACAGAACTTAATAAGGATAAATATAAAGTCCAAGCAATCAGTCCACAAGTTAAAGATGAGAAGTCATGACTAGACAACAAGTCCTATGAAAAGGACCTAGGAACTTTGACAGATTGCAAATTCAACAATGAGTTAATAGCATGACATGGCAGACAAAGGAGCTAATGCAATCATTAAGATGGGAACAATATCCAGAGCAAGAGGTCTACCAGACGACACCTAGAATACTAAGTTCCACTCTGGGCACTATATTTTAGGAACCTCAGTGACAAGCTGAAGTATGTCCAGAGGACTTAAGCCTAGAATAGTGGTGGAATTAAAGCCTCTAGCACTGTGTGCATTAACATCTGAAGATACCTAAGATCTTCTACATGGAAAAAAAAATGAGTTGGGCATAGAAGAAGGACATGATAGTTATTCTCAAATAATTCAAAGGATTAGATTTGTTCTAATTTTCCTCAGAGGGGCAGATCTAAAAGCATTCGGTGAACATTCCAAAGGTACAGATTTAGGCTTCATGAAAGGAAAATTGGAGCTATTCAAAAAATGGAAGGGACTACAATGGGAGGTAACGGGTCTTGTTTTCAAGGAAAGGCTTGGTGACTATTCACTGGGGATATTTTAGAAGGAATGCCTGACTCAGGTAAAAGTGAGACTTGATGATTTTTGAGGTCCTTTTCAAATCCGATTCTATGATACTTGCGAAGTGGCAGGATGAATTAGGAAGAAAAGAGATGAAGGCAGAAAGAACTATTAGAAGGGTTACCTAATAATTCAGCTGTGAAATAAATGTAAGAAAAGAAAGGAGGGGACAAATACATAAGTTATTGGGAAATTAGAATAATAAGGACGTGGGAACTGATTAGGTATTAGGGCTGGATGGAAGAGTCAAAGATGTCAGCTGATAACAAAAAGAATCCCTACAAAATTACTTCATAAGACACCAATACTATCTATTCTTCCCTACTGTAGCTTTACTTCATTCCCTCAACCCCATAAGAAAAAAAAAAGTCACTACTATAAATTGCTGAAAGAGATAATGTTACTTTTTTTTTTAATGCAAAATTACTTTAAAACTTCTTTGGAGACTGTATAAATTCACAAAGTAAAAGAAAATTCTAGTTTTAGCTTTCATTTCTTACCTTGCATTTGGAGTAAGACTGCGGAAAACGTGTGTAAGGGAGCTAAGAGCTAATGTTCCACACTGCTGGACAAGCAGAGAGTTCTCATAGGAGGTTTCTTCAGTATAAGGTCTATATGTAGTAGTTTCATACCAGAGCCAGTTATAAAGGCTCTGTTTTGAATGATCCCACACTATAGAACATTAAAAAAAAAATTAAAAATTAAAAAATTATCCTCATATAGTGGTCTCTGGTCACAAATAGAAAACACTCCTAACTGGCTATTCAAAATCTTGCCCCAGAGGATCCCCAAACCCAGCAAACAGAGCTGGAGTCTTTAAGCAGAAGATGAGTGCCCACTTGCTGGGTATGGGTTGGCTGCCAAGATGGCTCCCAACTCAAAATATTCTGTGATTTGGGAGGAAAAAAAACAACTCTGAAATCTACACATTTTTCTTCCTGTTAAAGTCCAAATCAGTAGCACCTCTTGTAGTATAATTAAATATTTGTATTCGAAATATAAGATTAAGCCTTAGTGTGCTACAAATGTTCTCATTTAAATATATGAATAAAAGACATAACCCCAAAGTTTTATTGACATGTCACAAACCTCTGAATTCAAACCACAAAACAAAGTGTTTAAGAATAAAATGTGGAAGAAGAAATCATGACTAGGTTTATTCTTCCCCCTACTATCTAATGCTAATAGCATTCCTTATGTTCCAAATCAGATATTAAGGAAACCTAGACATCCTTCTGGAAAGCAGTGTCTTTTGATTTATAACGTAGAGCTGCATTAGTTTTATGACTAATGTTGTTGTAAAAAAAAATTTTTACAAGCTGCTATCTTTACAAAGAACAGCAATAATGTTAAACTTACTGAGGGGGGCATTGATGTGATCAATAGAAGCTATGAGGTAAATCTTAGGCAAGGATGATAATTGTCCAAGAATTTGCTGACTTTTGTCTCCTCTCAACATCTGGCTGTCCAGATTATGGATAAGGAGGAAGAGTTCCAAAGAAGAATCTAAAAGGAAAAGAAATTCAACAAATATTTTAAGAGATATAAGAAAGCCCAGGTTCATTGAGGAAGATACTTTAGGAGAACAGCTGTAATGGTTCAAACACAGGGGAAAATACGTATGTGCATAATACTGATATTTACTACAGGTACCATTTGCTCCTGATGTCAAGGTTCCTAAGTATTAGGGGGAGGAATATGAACCCAGATTTCATGACTCCAAGTGTAGCACTGGATCTACTACACGTAGTCTCTAACAATGCCATGATGAGGTTCTGTATCAGGATGGTAACAACATAAACAAAAGGGTAGATTTCATCAGCACTGGGAGCTCCTAAGGAGGATCCAGATCTACAGCAAAGATCAGCACCTTCTCAGAACCTCATAGTCTAGGGTAGAAGTTAATGACTTGCCCAAGATCATAAAGCCAGTATATGCCAGAGGCAGGAATTCAACTTAGATCTCCCCAAATCCAAGGCTAGGTCTCTCTCTCTGTCTCCCTCTCTTTTCCCACTGGGCAATACAGTCTCTTCTCATTCACAGAGGCAAAAGACAGTGACCAAAATAAGTAAGTAAGTAAGTAAGTAAGTAAGTAAGTAAGTAAGTAAGTAAGTAAGTAAGTAAATAAATAAATAAATAAATGTGTACATTCATGCATGCGCGCGCGCGTGTGTGTGTGTGCGTGTGTGTGTGTGTGTGTGTGTGTGTGTGTGTGTGTGTGTGTATTTATATGGCAGAATTTGCAAAGTGTTTGGATGTAAAGCATAAAGGACAGTACGTTAAAAAAATTTATACCATGGTTTTAAGTATCAATGACTAGGCCAATGGTGGTGTCACTGATAGAAATATAAAAGTCTGACATGATTTAGGGAGGAAATGTGTGGCTTTGGACACTGTTATTTGAAGGTGACAGGAGAACATCTAAATGGAGATATTTTGCTGAAACGACTGTTGCTTGGATGAGAGGTAAGGATGGAAATATAGTCCCAAGAGTTTAGAGGTAGATAGCAGATGTCAGAGAAAAGCACTACAACAAATGAAAAAGAGTATGCAGAAAGAAGAACAGATGAGTAATGTTTCCCAAGTACTGCAGATTGGGAAATTTCCAGTTGGGGGTGAGAGAAAAGAGAAGTACTAACAAACACACAGCAGAAATATGAGAGGTGACAGAAAAATCAAGTAGTAACACAAACAACAAAAAGAGGGAAGATTAAGAAAAGAAAAGCAAACATTATCAAACGCAGAAAGGCCAAAGTAAATAAGGACTTTCGTTTACAATCAAGACACTTAATGAAACCAAAGAAGAGTACTTTTGGCAAGCTTATTATAGCTACCTAAAATGAATGAGAGCATTCTATACAAGTTAACATTATAGTACAAACTCCATTTTTATTAACCAAAATATACAAACATACATAGATTCACCCAAATTTCTGCCCTGAGCTATCTTTTCTCTCTACACTCTCTTTGTAACTTCATCAGTTCTCATAGGTTTAATTATCAATGCAGATGATTCCTAGATCTATATCATTACTTAACTGCTTACTAGAAATTTTAAACTGGATATCCCAAAGACATCTCAAACACGATGTGACCAATAATGAACTCATTATCTCTTCCTTTCTCAAACGTACACCTCCTAACTTAGCTGTTTCTGTAAAATGCACCTTCAAAGGCTGGGAACAGACAGCTTTCAAAAGAAGAAATCTAAATTACAAACAACCGTATGGAAAAATTACTCCAAATCACTATTAATTAGAGAAAAGCAAATTAAAGCAATCTCACAGCCATAAGATTGGAAAAGTCGACAAAAATAGAATGAGAAATGATGGACATAGATGTCAAGACATAGAATGAGGTGTACATTTCTGTTAATGGCCAATGTAGAATTTTTTTATAGCTTGATTACACATTTGTTTTCAAGGTTTTGTTTTCCTTTTTTCTTTTTTTTTCTTTTCTAGGCAATTGGGGTTAAGTAACTTGCCCAGGGTCACACAGCTATAAGTGTTAAGTGTTTGGTCTGAGGCTGCATTTGAACTCAGGTCCTCCTGACTTCAGGGCCAGTGCTCTATCCACTGCGCTACCTAGCTGCCCCTGGTTTTCCTTTTTTCAACCTGGGCAGAAGGGAGATGGAAAATGGAAGAAAAGAGAGACAGATAGGAATTCCACTCACCGACCCCCAAAGAAAAGAGGACAAAAGGTATCTCGGGTAAGTAAGAACAGCTTTGAAAACTCTATAATAAATGTTATATGCTATAACAGAAAAGCAAGCTTTACACAAGAGAGAGGTGCAATTTCATGTGAAATCCTCTCTTGTTCTCCAATGGATATGAAAGGTTCATTTTATTTGAATTTCTAAAAAAGAAAATGAAAAAAAGGAGAATGATGTTGATAACTTTTGAAAGGTAGAGAATCAGAGTGAAGGCATCTATTGCAAATGCTGGAAGTGGAGACAGGGTTTAGTTCACAAATTGCTGATAATCACACATATGCAGGACAGAGTAGTGTTCTGGACCAGGCCTAAAACAGTGATTCAAGGTTAGAATACAACAAAACAGTCTTTGTCTTAAGGGCTGGAACTCTGGGGATGGGGAGGGACACTGGAGGAAATGTAGGTGATATAAAAACAAAGGATATTATCCTTCCAGTCACCAAAGTTCACAACCATATCATCTTCAACCACTCATTCTCCCTCAACCACAAACCCAATCAATTTTGTCTCATCAATTCTATGCCCACATTTTTTTTACACCTGGCCCTGAATCTCTCTCTTCACATAGCCACTGCTTTTCCCCCAGACTGCTATGTTAAGACTCCCATTTGGTCTCTCTGTCCAAAGTCTCTCCTCCCCTCTCAATTAATCATTCACTCAGTACTTATTAAGTACATACTGTGCCCTAGGGACACAAATAAAAAGAATGAAAACAATTTCTACTTGTAATGAACTTATATCCTAATGGAGGAGAAAAGCACATATAAAAATACATATAGCATTAAAATAAATTATATATACATATATACGCATGTATGTACACACAACATACACACATATAAAATATATACAGACACAATAAACTTTAGTGGTTCCACATTGCCTCAAGGAGTAAATACAAAGTCTTCTATTGGACACTTAAAGTCCTTTACAACCTATCCCCAAATTACATTGCAAGCCTTATTAAACATTTTCCTCATCTGTGGTTTAACCAAACTGGCCTTCTTACTGTTCCTCGTACATAACAATTCATCTTCTATTTTCTACATCTTTACACAGGTTATCACTTATGGTTTGAATGCATGCCTCCTCTCACCTCTACCTCTTAAAAGCCCTAGTTTCCTTCAAAGTTCAAGTCAGGCAGCACCTTCTACGTGAAACTTTACCTGACCCCTCTCCCTGCCCCAACTATTAATGTTTCTACTCCAAAAATTATCTTGTATTTATTTTGTTTATATGTATGTGTGTATATGCTGTCTTCTCTAACAGAGTGTGAGCTCCCTGAGGGCAAAGGGCCTAGCATACATAGGAGATGCAACACACTCATTTTAGCTCACAGCAAGAAATACAAATACCTTTAAATTTCTTGAAAAGGTAAGAGGCCTGAGCATACGGCCCGCTCAAGGACCAGAGAATAAATTCAAATAATATGCCTAAAGAATAAAGAGTGGTGAGAAGAGAAGCTTCCATTTTTAAAACAAAGCAATTGTTATGTGGCACATAAAAATGATATCTATTTCCACGACAATAAATGAAAATGCCCATTCAATTCCACCTGAAGTTACAGAGATTCTATGTTACCATCTTTAAATTTGTTGATTATCCAGTCCAGCTGATCCACCACACTTCGGAAAGTTCCCATATGATCAAGGATTTCTTCTGTTATAGAATTCAGAATCTGTAATAGAAAGCAGAATATTGCTATTTGTATTAGATCCTACTAAGTAACAAGAATAGGTAATAAAATAACAGGCTTAGATTTCCCCTTCCCAGAAATGTTAGCAACACTTACAACTTCATACTTGAAAATTGTGTTGGGCTTTAAGGCTACCTTACTATAAAACTTTCTGAATAAAATACTGCTAAAAAAGAGACAGGACAAAATGATGATGATGATGATGATGATGATGATGATGATGCTTTAAGTTTTCAATGTGTTTGATATACATTATCTCATCTGACCCTCACAACAACCCTGTGAGGTAGGTGACATTATTATCTCCATTTTGCAGATGAGTAAACTGAGGCTGAGAGAGGTTAAATGACTTGCCCAGGCTCACACAGTTATTAAGTATCTAAAGCCAGATTCAAACTCAAATACCGACTCTTAAGTCCAGCACTCTACCCACTTCACTACCTTGCTGTATAATGAAGAAATGAAGACAACCTAAGAAATCAGGAAGAAATGAACACTAGGGAACACTAGAGACAGGAATACTGAGATAGTAACTAGAACTTTTGCTACAGAGAAAAAAGGAAGAAAATATATTCTTCTAGCACTAGAAAAACTTGCAAACACAGAAATTAGCATTTATTTTTACTCTATGACATCCAGCAAACATTACAATATGAGGGCAAAGATATGAGGCCTTGGACTCACAGCAGGACCGACATCAGCTTTTGTCACAGACCCCTCAAGTATTTCTAGTGCTTTCTTGCAGCTTCTCTACCTCTCAGGGTTGTATACATGGCTTGCAATTGTTAGGAAAGAAGGAATAACAGGAATCAAAAAGTCAAATGAAAACAGGTGCAAGTATACGCTCCTTAACCTCAAAAAGACTAAGCAAGAGATGCTGTGTCAGAGGAATGTTGCTAGAAGTCTAAAAAAAAGAAAGTAGATGAGTCAGAAAAGTCGGGCCTCAAGAGTACTTTTGTGTATGGCTGAATGGGGCTATGGGTCTGATAATAAATGAACTAGGAAAGTGTTACCTAGGTGCAGAGTCATATTGGCCCTCAATCTCTCTCTGTAAGAAGAAGAGAGAGTAAAGTGATGGAGGCTTATGAAGCAGCAATAGCAGCAGTGAAGTATCAAAGAAGTCTGGAGCCAAATCGGCAGCTGAAGCAACATAAACTATCAGCAATAAGTAGCACAAGCCAGGTTGCTGGACCAAGCCAAGAGCTAAAGGAACTAAAAGGGATAGGGAACTAGAAGGGACAAGCAATTAGGCACACGGAGCCACAATGCAGAGCAGCAATTGGGACTCTGCCCTTCATCTTGTACTGTGAATCATGTGAACTACACAGGTCCAAGGTAGAAAGGTCAACTCCCTGGTGAACCAGAGCTCTTTCTTCCCACTGGAGGGAGGGGCCCTCAACCCTAAGGTAAGATTACACGTCTGGAGCATCTAACTCTCCAAGAAGCTGAAATTTCTTTGTCTATATATAGCCTTGAGTACAGTCCTTTCCACATTCCTCATGGTGGGGAATTAATTTGTTCCATGTTTTAGCTGCTTACAAGTGAACTGAAGACATGTAAATGAGAACTATAAACAAGCTGCTTCCAGATAACCCCAGGGAAAACCTGGCAAGCCTGGAAGATGTGAGAGTATTAATCACTGAGAAGGCTCCAAATATAGATCTTTAGGTCAGGTCTTCAGGTATAAATTCAGGGCTGGCTGCATTCCTACAATACTGGGCCACAGATCATTAACAGATAAGAAAAACATTTTTAAAAATACTGATGTCTTTGCATTCCTGGTTTTTAATAAAGGTAAAAAATATTTATCCTTCAGAATATAATTCTTAGGGGAAAGGACCAAAACTTAGCACTCTGGAATAAACAAGTGATTAGAGTACTGAACCAAGAATACAAACAGTCAGTACCAATTGGCTACTGGGTGTGGGGAATAAGGAAGAGACACAAGGGAGCATAGGCTGATTACTGAAGAGACAGGGAGTTTCTGGGAGCACAAACTACTCTGTTGCAGAAGCCAGACTATGTATATCCCAGGAATCAAAGTTGAGAGGGGTCTGGTGTGGGACCTACCTACAACTCATGAGGTTAGGACTGGTTCAGGGACAACATAATTCAAACAGCAATAAAGATCTACCTAGACAATGCCTCAAGCAGACTGAGGGTAAGAAATAAAACAACGAATGAAGAAATCCTCCTCTCCCCAGTCCCAAGGACGGATTACTGACAGCAGGACAAAATTTAAATGAAGAAAGTCTTTCTGGGATTTAGAGTGAGGGTGGGCAGTGATCTTACCAACGCTATTGTTGTTAGATATTGGGCGAGGTATTCCAAGAATGACTGGAACTGGAACCTATACTTCCATACCTATAAGCTAGTGCTTAGACAGAGATTTTTGAGGGACTGAGATACAGCTGCCTGACCTGACAAATTTATTATAAAGGAACTAGACATAAATTAATATTAAGGTCAAGGCCAGTTGAGAGATTAGGAAAGGAGAAAATAAGAAAAGTATATCCTGGTTGCTTAGAACCAGGATGAAATTAATCCCGCTAAAATTTGTAAGTCTTTGTTGCCCTTTTATATTGTCTTCAATGTCATGTTTCTCCTCTAATTCTTTATACTAAATTCTCTTTTTAAAACATCTAAGAAGTTTCTGTACTGTTTTTAGGGATCAGATAAAAGTGAAATTCTGTGGCATTCTCACCACAGAAGCCCTAGTATAAGGAAACCCAAGAAATCTAGGGAAAGTGGTGGCAACAAAAACCCATCAGATGGCACTTGCAGGGTTGTAGGCTGGCAAGTGGGAAAATGAAGCAACATTATGAGCTGGCAATGCTGGATCCCCAATTTCCAGGCCTAGGAACGTGATACCACACAGATGCAAAATTAGTAACAGAAATGTATTTGAGGAACAGTCTGTAAGCACTGTTTTGAGAAGACAAATTCACAGAATACACAGATAACTATAACATTTCAGAAACATTATGAAGTTCAAAGAAATCTGTCTAAATGAGTTATATTAAAATATGAAAATAAATCCACATCAGTGATAAAGAATTAAACAAATTATTTTTCTTAACGCTTTCAATATATTTGATACACTTACTGATTTTACAGTAATACCAGGAAAAAACCCATTGATGACAACATGAACTGAATCTTGCAGCATGGAGGCACGAAATTTCTCTAGTAATTCTTTCTTAGAGCCCAGTCCATAAAGCACAATGTTGAACCCTAGGCTATAGGAAAAAACATTTGTGAAATTACAGGTAAGCACCTCCTAGTTCCAATTTCTCAATCAACTAATTTCTCTTGAGGTCTGGTAATTCAATAAACTACCACATTCAATTTCAGTTTAGAATTACAACCAAAACAGATTTCCATGATCACAATGGTAAGATATGTCAATGGACCTTACAGTGGAACACTGCTTTTGTCAGTTGTGATGCTTCAAAGACAATATTTCTGCTTTGATGTTATGAGCCCAGGCATCCTTTTTCCAACCTCCCCACAACAGCCACCCCCATCCTTTTTCACTAAGGATAACCCTTCTGGGGCATAGACCTTTCAAGGATATAAGATTTTTAGACATGTAAACATCAGAAAAGCAGACAGAGAAGCTGAATCACTGAACCAAACAGATATAAGAAGAGTTGGGTTGTTTGTTTTTTAAGTCAATCTAGATTATATAAATGCATCTATGCTAATGCTATAGGTCTGAATAAATGGGAAAATAATCAACAGTGATTCAAACTAAAATTTTACAGAAAGGATAGGAAGAGGAAGTCTGGGCACTTAATTTAACAAATACCTTTAAAACAACTACTTCATGAAAACTACTGTGCTAGGAGTTGCATAAAGAGACAGCTACGCTACAATCCCTGCTCTTAAGGAATTACAATATAGGAAGGGAAACAAGACAAACAAAAACATAACGCAAAATAGAATATAAATATATAGAAGAGGTACAAAGGATTATGCCTCACCTCTGACAAGAGAGAGTCAAAAAAGATCAGCAAAGAAATAAAGCTACCTTTCTTTAAAAAATGGAAAGTAACCAAATTGAGAACAATCTTCAGAATTCTTTTTAAGGTTTACAAAGCATTTTCTTTATGTATCCACAAAATAATAAAGATTTGTTCAATTTAATCGAACATATATTTTTAAAGCAAGGTGTGACCACAGAAGACTGAAAGGTAGCCATAAAAAGACTCTCAGAGCAAAAAAGATATCCTTTGACTAGACGAGAGCAAATCAGTTAGAAAATCAATGAGAACCCTTAATAAGGGGTGTGTGTATCTGTGTGTGCGAGTGTGTGTGAGTGTGTGTGTGTGTGTGTGTGGTGTGTGTGTGTGTGTGTGCAGAAAGGAAGTGGAGCCTCAAACATAATAGAGTAGCTAGACAAGCACCTGAAAACCTCAAGTCTACGCAGGTTCCTATTGCTGTATACTCTACGATGCCAACCAGGGCTTCCAATTTTTTAAGCTACTATGATGGTAAAAACCAAATACAAATGAATAAAAAAGATGAAGCATCTGTGTATATAAGTAAGTACTTGGATGAAATTGGTCATCATCAAAATTAGTTTCAATCTTTACCAAGGATATCAAGGAAATTTCTACTCTCAAGCTGTCTTTTAGAAGTAGGCTAGAATGGGAATTGTTTAAAAGTAATCAACATTAAATATATTTTAAGATGAAAGATGTAATGAAAGAAAGGATGTAATGAAAATCTATAAAATCATGAATACCACACATAAGTGAACATGAACTTTTTTCAATTTATCTTAAAATACTAGGATAAGGAGAAAACCATTAAAATTTGATCACATTAAGTTTAGAGCAAAATAAAAGTAACACAATAAGTAAATGAAGAAATTAAGCTAATCCAGTAAGTGGTAGTGAAAAGTATTATAAAACAGATTCATAAGGAGACTGAACAAATTTATGAATGAGAGTCACAAATGGCCACCAAGAAAAGGAGAGTTAAAGCTAATATCAAGAAAACAACTCCACAGGCAGAATTCAATTCCTATCGCTTAGTAGACCAATGCTTATCTTTATTTACTCATTTTTGTATGTATGTTTCTTTCTGTGTACATCATATAGCTGAGTGAACATCCTTAATCCAACGAAGGAAAAGAGGGCTTTATGGAAACCAAGACACAGCATATTTAGTGGTGGGAGTGGGGGGAGACATAGTGTGGTCTTGTGGAAAAGGTGCTGGGCCTGGAGTCAAGGTTAGGGTTTGGACCAGGAGGACTAGGCTCTAACACCAGCTACTTCTGGGACCTTGAGCAAGTTAATACCAACTACTTCTGGGACCTCTGTGGGTCTCAGGTTCCTCATCTATAAAATGCAAGGGTTGGGGGAGTAGGTAGAATAGGGCTGACCATATATATGGCCTCTTTGAGCTCTCAATCTATGATCTTATGATCCCATGGCATATAGTCCAAATTCAATCCAACAAACACCTACTGAGTGCCTACTCTGACCAAGGCACTGTACCAAGCATTAAAATACAAAGACAAAAAAAAAATCCAGCCCCCACAACCTGACATCCTACTGAAGAGATGTAATATGTACAATCAGAAATGCTGTCTTCTAGAAAAGGACAGTCGCAATATGAAGGAAAGCCCCTTAAGACTACTGAAAACTCATGTGAAAACAAAAAATATTTAGACCCATAACTCATTCCCACCCAGTCATTTATGCCAGGCACCTTGCAACCTGCCTTGCTGCAGACCCCATTCTCCTTGCCTGAAACAGCACTTTTTGTAGAGACTAACAGCTTTCCTCCATGAGGAAGTAAGTTCACTCAGCTTTGGAATTTCCTACCTGGGTCCAAACTATCCTGATCGGTAAATGAATAAATGAAAACTCACCTAACCCACAACAGACCATGCTTCACATCCCATTCATCCATCCACCCTGGGTATCTTGCCATGTGCCCCGAGGACACATCCATAGGCTTCCTTCTCCACTCCCAAACACAATTTTCGGCCTTTTGCTCTGAAAAGGGTAATCATCATTGAATTTGGAAAGTTTTATGTGGCAATGAACTGCCTTATGACTCCACTCACCATCCCTGTGAATCCTCAGACTGCAGTTCCTTTCCCTAGATCTAATCACCTATATGTGTTGTCTCCCAGACTAGAATATTAGAATTAGAAAGCTCTTTAAGGGCAAAGACTGTCTCACTTTTGTATTTTTACCCCTGGCATGCAGTGGGTGCTTTATAAATTTTTTTAGTTATACATTCATAACTATCATTTGAAACTGAATTTGAAATTGAATTGAATTGCAACAAATGAAATTGTTACAGAGGTTTCTGGAACCAAGAGGAAGGGGGAAAGGGGCCCATTTTTTCCTGCTTGGGGCCAATAACACCACTTCCTCTAATGGTCCAATTTCAATTGTTGGACTATCGAGTTTGCCCTTCTCCATGCCCAACTGAATTTGCCCCACATGCAAGAATTCCACGTTATACCTCTAATTTTAAAAGCTTATGAAGTCATGGGTAAGAGACTAAAGGACTTAGGAGCACAGGAAGTATTTTCTTCTCCTCTTAAGTTGAAAACATTAGAAAATAAAATATTGAACATAGACCAGCTGATTAAAGAAAATGTCAAAGACTGGGATTTAGTTTTCTGGACAATAGAAATATATAATAAAATAAAGGGCTTTTGGCTGAGTACATATAAGGAAGATAAGGAACTATGAGTTTGTGTGCAGACTGGCTAATTCAATCAGGTAGGTTTTAAACTATAAAGGAAGGACAAATCCGAAAAAAGCCCTCAATCAGCTTCTAAAAACCAGATTATCAGATATAGAGTACAACAGGCTATGACTAGAGTGTGAAAAGCGGCTAAATTTATCTACTAAGCTGAATATAAATTGCAAAGACTAACAAGTATAATATAAAAACAGCACTAGATGTGCTCAGTGATCACAAGAGACAAAGTAAGTAAAAGCAGACAGAAATTATATTCATTGGTTCATATATGTATACATAATTGTTTGGACTATAGATAATAAGCAAAGAAAAAGGTAAGTAAATATAACCAAATAGGTATCAGTGACATTTTGTAGGGTGTGACTCATGACTATAATTAGTGAATATACCCTGTTCAGAACAAAAAGAATAGACTGGATAGAATAGGAGACGAGGAAGCAGTGTATAATAAAAATTACTCATCTGTATGGAAGCCCACACACCTAAAAGTGGATATATGGTGGAGAATACTGGGTGAGGGACAAAGGGAAGATAAACCATGGTGATACAGTAATGATATACTGTAGCTAGCAGATCAGCTGAAGCAATTAAATGACAAGCTCCAAATGCAGAATATGAAGCAACCCAAGAGGTAGGATAAGTATGTTGTGCTAGGGACCCTTCACCCTGTCTCTCTCTATTAAAAGCAAATCAGCTGACAAATCCTTGATTTACTTTGTTGATGATTTTATCTGTCAAACCATGCACACCACCACAGAGTCCTGACAAATAAGGAGAATACTGAGCACAGTATAATTTGAACCTTAGGCTTCCAACTTCTTATTCTCGCTTTTTTCTGTCGTTTGATAACTTAAGAACTCAAATTTGGTACATTCCTACTTTCTGGGGTTTTTCCATTTTCTAAACCCAAAGGCATTAAAGCCCTCACTAGCGAAGAGTGATAACGCTGTCCCATTAGCTGTCTCCACTCACGCAGGGCCCAGCATAGCAAGAAAAGCTCCTCTTAAGAGGGCTTCTGCTCAATCCATCCTTCTAGGAAGCTGATGAATGTCTGAACTACTAACAGTCTGGTCTTTTCTTTTCCAGTACTGAGAATACTTGGCCTTGCCAATGCCCACAAAGCTAGTCCAAGGGCTAAGATCAAAGCTGAAACTGATTCTGACAATAAAGAAATCAGTGAAGAGTCTTATGAGACTAGTGTGGTTAGACAAAATCTCAGATTTAAAAGATATGAAAAGCAATAGATACAAAGGCAAATAAGTTGTGGATGACTCTAAAACAATGGCATGTCTGAAAAGAAGAGCATTAAGAGCACTAAATTATATCTACTTCTGAGTGCCATGTAAGGAGGGGGCACTATGGGGTAACAGTCCTGACCAATTAATGGAAAAGTGTGTTCAAACACATGCTGACACAGTAATATGACCAATATTCTAATTTGTAATTATAATAACAACATATGTGTTTGGAGGAATCATCTCTCAGGAAATTGGGTAAGGGAACAAGAAGAGGAGGAAAAACGAAGGAAAGCATGCTAAGAATGGTTTGTGATAGCAAAATGATTGGATTCCTAATAGAGAACTAGAGGTGCCCATACTTTATTAGACCTAATATTTGTCTAACACTTTAGTCAAGCCAAAAGTAAGGAGTTGGGGTAGGCCCACTTAAAGCAGCATGAAACTTATACTGGGGTGAGGGATAACCATGGAAGCCCACACTCAAGAGGGTCTGTATAAGTCATGTGGTCTGCAGCAACAGGTTAAAAGAAAAAAAAAAGGACATCCTAGGACTAAACCAGTCAAAAGATGTCCCAGTAGAACCCATTTTTGGGAGATGACAGAATAGAACCAAACAAGGCAAGAAGGTAAGCAGCTTTCAAAAGTGCCAAAGTGGGGTGAGGTGGTAAAGGCAAAAATTCCCAGGGAAGTAGACAAGAAAGAAAATATTCACTATTTTCTAGGTGAAGGATAGACTTCCACAGGCCCTAAACAGTGGTTGAGAGAAACTGATCCTGAAATGACAGACTTTGATAGGCCATACTAAGAGCTGGAGAGGTAGGTTTCAGAAGCTTCAGAGGATGGTCAACTCCACAGTCGCAACACCAGAACGGAATCAATACCAAGGCCCAAACCAAGAAAAATTTTAGAGGGGGTGGGAAGAAGGTAGGAAAGCTATCTCATAGCTAGTGAAGACCCAAGATTTAACCATAATAACATCTGCACCCTACGTCACTAAATACATTCCCATGTGACATTGGGCAATTTTATCACTTTACCAGATCACAGATCTATATCTGTGTCAAGGATATGAGAATTTACCTAATTGAACACTTTCACTGTGCAGATGAGGAAGCTGAAGCCCAGGGAAATAAAGGATTTGCCCACAGTAAAAAGTGGCAGAAGTGGAATTTGAATTGGGGTCCTCTGACTCAAGTCAATGCTTTCTCCACTGCACTCTCTGCCCCTCAGGTGCTTCAGCATTAATAATGCTTCCACTTACTAAACAGGGACAAGAACTGTTTTGTATACATTTTGTGGTTATTTACAACACACAAAATAAAATAATGCATAAAACTGCTCTAAAGTAAAAAACACTATACAAGCACAATCATACTTACTGTAACTGTAACATCCACTTGTGAAATAGCCGTTCGTGCTGTTCATTTAATTGTTTCAACTCAGCAGAAAAGGAAGGAGAAAACTTGCTCAACAGGTTGTGCAAAGTTTGCTAAAAGGTAAGAAAAGAAAATTGACCCTGACTTCACCTATACCAAGTGAAACAGAGATAAGACACTTTCAACTTAAACATTCTCAGGTGACCTGGTTTCATAACAGCACTGTTTTGCAATTAGCATGTTAATAAGAAGGAAAATCTTGCTTCTGAATTGCTTGCAGATCCCTTAAAATAATTTCTTTTCTTAAATATTTTAAACATTTCACAGTTGTCTATATACTAATTTATCACAAAGAGACAATATTGTGGGGCAGCTAGGTGGCACAGTGGATAGAGTTGGATTCAGGAGGACCTGAGTTCAAATCCAGCCTCAGACACATAACATTTACTAGCTGTGTGACCCTGGGCAAATCACTTAGCCCCACTACCCAGCCAAAAAAAGGAGAGGGAGAGAGAGAGAGAGAGAGAGAGAGAGAGAGAGAGAGAGAGAGAGAGAGAGAGAGAGAGAGAGAGAGAGAATATTGCAAGGAGTATCTGTCCCAGTTATAGTAAAAGCTCGTTAACATAAATAAGTGATAAAAATGCTTGCCCTGGGGCCACAAACCGTAACTTGGAGAAAGACCATTAAAAACCTAGACAATTTGGTAAAAATATATAAAAACTTAAGTCAACAGTCTAATAAGTAATTCAAAGAAATCTTTTAGTCCTATCATTTCTAAACAAACTTCACTTATTTTAGGGGAGCGGGGGAAGAAATTATTGAAAGGGAAGGTCTAAGGTAAGAAATCCTCCCCTACCTTGAAGAAACTCAACTGTTCTGAGGGTGTGGTACATTGGAGAGAGCACTGACTAAAAGGGGAGACCAAACTGTGCCTGACAGACATGACCTGTGTGACCTTGGGAAAGTCACTCATCCTCCTTGGGCCTCAATTTCCCCACATGTAAAATGAGGGAGTTGGACTAAACAGTGTCTAAGGTCCCTTCCAGCTCTAATTCTACGATCAAAAGCAGATGAAGCTAGCCATTCCACAGCCAAATCTTGTCCATGAGAATCTTGGCAAAAAATTATGAAACCTCCAACCACCATTATCCTGTCCCAATCGCTCTGCTAACCTCCAATCTCAAATCTCCAAGTGCCTTTTGGATATCTTGAACTGGATGTCCAGTAGACATTCTAAACCAGCAGTCGGGAACCTGTGGCCTCAAGGCCACATGTGGCCTTCTAGGTCCTTGGGTGCGGCCTTTTAACTGAGTCCAAGTTTTACAGAACAAATTCTTTTATTAAGGAGATTTGTTCTGTGAAGTTTGGATTCAGTCAAAGGGTTGCACATGACGACCTAGAGGGCCACAGGTGGCCTTGAGGCAGCAGGTTCCCCACCCCTGGCACTAAACTCATTATATTCAGAATGTAACTCATTATCTTCCCCCTCCCACCTTCCCTATCCTCCCAGTTGCTCAAGCCCACAACCCAGGAGTCTTCCTGGATACCTCACTCTCTCTCTCTCCCCTCCACATCTAAGCTATTGCCAAGGCCTGTCAATTTTATCTTTGCAACATCCTTCCAATACTCCCCCTTCTCTCCTCTGACATTGCCAATGTCCTGGTACAGGCCCTTATTACCTCATACTTGGATTATTGCAATATTCTGCTGGTGGGTCTGCCTGGCTCAGGTTTCTTCTCACTTCAAACCAGTCAGCCACCAAAGTGATCTAAAGCAGGGCTTCTTAAAATTTTTCCACTCACAACCCCTTCAGCTCTTCTTAAACTGTAAGGTACCATGACCCACAGTTTAAGAAGCACTGAACAGTCCAAACATGTCACCTCTACTTGATAAATTCCAGTGGTTCCTTCTTGCCTCCCGGATCAAATACAAAATGCCCTGTCTGGCATTCAAAGCCCATCATAACCTATCCCCTTCTACCTTTCCAGTCTTCTTATACCTTACTCTCTAACACATTCTCTTAGATCCATTAACACTAGCCTTCCAGCTATTCCACAAACCAGACATCTCTCAGTTCTGCACATTTTCTTGGCTGTCCCCCATACCTGGAATGCTTTCCTTCCTCAACTCTACCTACTGGCTTCCCTTGCTTCCTTACGACCCAACAAAAATCCCCATCTTTTACAGGAAGTCTTCCCCAAGCCCTCTTAATTCTCGTGCCTTCCCTCTGTTAACTGTTTCCTATTTATTCTGTATATACCTTGCTTTTCATATATTTGTTGTGTGTCTTTCCCTTTACACAATAAGCTCCTTGAGGGAAGGGCCTATCTTTTGTCTCTTTTTATATTCCTACGTTTATGAAGTGCCTAGCATATAGTAAGTGCTTGATAATTAGTGATTGATTGACTGAGGCATGCCACTACCATCTCTTCAAGTATACTCTGATACCTCTAAAAGGTCTTCTTTACTAGTTAAGATTTTTTTTTTGCACCCAAGATTATCACTAGGCTGCATTTGTGAGGCCACGTCCAACAAAAATACCTTCTTGTATACTAGATACCACATAACTGAAGGCTAACAAGATCAATCCTGGGTAAAACTGCTAAAATAAAATGTTTTCTTTTTAGCCTCAGTTTTTCTGCTTCTCTGCCTTATTTTCTGAGCTGAGAAGGATCTTAGATAACATTTAGTCCAACCCACTCACGTTTGGGTGATTAGGAAACTAAAGCTCCAAAAGATTAAGTGACATTTCCTCTGTGTTCTTGACACCATGGCACCCCAAGAAGACTACCTACCACACAGCCTTTCTGTTGAAAAAAGTTTCCCACAACAGGAAAGCCTCTGACAAAGGTTACATTCAGTTCATTTACTGATTACATTTTAGTATGACTGAATTCCATTCAATAAGTGTCTCCAAGTCTACAAGGCATTTGCATTACAAATCTCTCATTTCTAACCAAGGAATAAAAAACTTTGAATGGAATAAACCCATCTAAAGAAATTTCAGACATTTTAAAACAAATGGGGAAAAAATTTTGGAATGATGAGAGGCCCTCCTTTGTTCCCAAAATCATATTATGTGAACTCCTAAGTAAAACCTTGAAGTTTTACCTGATTTAGATCATTTGTGGCAGGTAGTTTGATAGAAGGTTATCATTCAAAAAGGAGGGCACAGACGAGGTCTTTTTTATCTCTGTCTCCCCAGCAAGGAGATAAATGTTTATTAAGTCACTTATTTTCAGTCTCTCTCATTCCCATATCCAAGACAGTCAGGGAGAGCTGAATGCAAAACTCAAAAGCACCAACAAAACCCACCTTTTAAGAGAGGTGGGACAGTGGAGGAAGAGTGTAAATACCAAGGGAACTTCAGTAACTATGTATGTGATAGGAAGACATAGGGACAGAGGCCTAGGGCTCCTCAGATAGAGTATAAAAACTAGGAAAAGACTTTTAAACATTATGAAAATCAATGGGTGTGGCTGAATAACAGGGACTAAAATGTACAAGATATAAAGGAAAACACAGACACCAATGCTGAGTACAGATGCTGCAGGCAGGAAGAAACTCTTAAAATTTGTTCTATTTAAAAACAGTAAAACTAATTACAGTCATTTTTGCAAACTTCTTACTACTTATGCCTAATTACCATGCACCACAATAAAGAATATAAGTATAAATGAATGTGTATCATGGTAAATTATCTAGGTTTAATTTGATTATATGTAATTCTGTTTATATGCGTTCACCCTCCATGGCTTGCTGTTCCCATATAAAGATCCATTTTGAAAATGTTAACTTGAATGGCCCTGGCAACATACCTGATCCAGTTTAGTCCTCTTTAGTTTCTGCAATGTTCTATCTGAGGTTAAAACTTTTGAACTGCTGTGGGCTTCAAAATACTCTTCTACTAAGTCAGTCTGAAAAAACAATGAAAGGTCAGTTTACAGTGGGTTCAGGCTAATCTACATCATTCAAAATGTTAACAGGAAATTGAAAACATGCGAAATTATTTTTCTTAACCAAGAAAGAATTTTTTTGGTATCTTTCTTTTTTTAAATAATTAATTTTTAGTTTTCAACATTCACTTCCACAAGATTTTGAATTTTAAATTTTCTCCCCTTCCTTCTTCCCCCTCCCTAAGATAGCATATAATCTGATATAGGCTCTACATATACATTCATATTAAACATATTTTCACATTAGTCATGATATAAAGAAGTATTAGAACTAACAAGAGGAACCATGAGAAAGAAGAGACAAAACATAATAACAAAAGAAAAGGAGAGCAAATCTGCATTCCATCTGCATTCAGACTCCATAGTTCTTTCTCTGGATGTGGACAGCTTTTTCCTTTGTGAGTCTCTTAGAGTTGTCTTAGATCCTTGCACTGCTGAGAAGAGTGAACTCTATCAAAATCAGTCATCGCACAGTGTGGCTGTTACTGTGTGCAATGTTCTCCTGGTTCTGCTCACTTCACTCAGCATCAGACCATACAACATACAAGTCTTTCCAGGTTTTTCTGCAGTCTGCCTGCTCATCATTTCTTATAGCACAATAGTATTCCAGTACATTCATATACCACAACTTGTTCAGCCACTCCCCAATTGATGGGCATCTTCTCAATTTCCAATTCTTTGCAACCACAGAAAGAGCTGCAATAAATATTTTTGTACATGTGGGTCCTTTTCCCATTTTTATGATCTCTTTGGGATACAGCCCTAGAAGTGCTATTATTGATGGGTCAAATGGTATGCACTTTTTTTAGCCCTTTGAGCATAGTTCCAAATTGCTCTCCAGAATGGTTGCATCAGTTCACAACTCTAGCAACAATGCATTAGTGTTCCAATTTTTCCATATCTTCTCCAATATTTATCATTTTCCTGTTTTGTCACATTGGCCAATCTGATAAGCATAATGTGGTACCTCAGATTTGTTTTGATTTGCATTTCTCTAATCAATAGTGTATTTAGAGCATTTTTTCATATGACTATAGATGGCTTTCATTTCTTCTTCTGAAAACTGCCTGTTCATATCCTTTGACCATTTATCAATTAGAGAATGACTTGTATTCTTAGAAATTCGACTCAGTTCTCTATATATTTTAGAAATGAGGCCTTTATCAGAGACACTGACTGTAGAAATTGTTTCCCAGCTTTCTGCTTCCCTTCTAATCTTGGTTACATTGACTTCGTTTGTGCAAAACCTTTTCAATTTAATGTAATCAAAATTATCCATTTTGTATTTCATAATACCAAAAAAATTTTGTAAAGGCTATAAATTAAGGCAGATATCCATGTTCTCTACTAAACCACAACTTCACACCTAAATTTTAGAATACAAAAGACTAATCATTATATGTCTATTAGTAGTAGATGATTTCCAACACATTTACAATCTCCATTTCAGGTTAAGGATCATTTTCACTACTGTTACTTACAGAGTTTAATGGAATATTATTGTGTTATCAAAAAAAATGACAAGAAGAAGAATTCAGAGAAATATGAGGTTTATATGAAGTGATTCAGAGTGAAGAGAGCAGAATCAAAAGAATACACACACACACACATACACAATGACTATAACAAATGAAATCAAACTTCCATGGATCATTATATGCTCAAAACCAGTTCTTTCTCCAACAATGCAGATGGCAACCAGTCCATCCTGTATAACTCTCATTCATGTATAAAAAAGCTCCATCCTCCCAATGTGTTGAGGTCTTTTCATTATGCTGTCTTGATACTGCACAGATGCCAATGGGAGCACCAACTTATCTATCCTTCACTCTCATTATGTGAGTGGCCCATCTTTTTTAACGGTCATATATTTCTGTGATGACAACCCCTACTGCCTTCTCATTATTCTCTGGATAATTCTTCAGAGATGTATTTCATGATCTGTGGACATAAAATATCACTGGAAAAATAATGGTTTTTTAAAAAGATAAGCCACAAAGAGATCAAAGAGGTTGAAGGCTTCTAACAACAAAAGCATTTGTAGTGGCATTTTTATGGTAGCAAGGAACTGGAAATTGAGGAGGTGATTATCAATTGGGGAATAGCTGAACAAATTACAGCAAATGAATAATGGATTATTTCATCATTAAAATGAAAAAGGGAAAGTTTCAGAGAAATCTAGAAAGACTGTAAGAAATGATGCAAAGTAAAGTGAGAACCAAAACAATTTATACAACATCATAAAGAAAAACAACTCTGAAGGATTTAGTAACCGTGATCATGACTTCAAAGGTACAGAATAAGACATACTTGCGGACATGGCCAACGTAGGAAAATTTTCCTTTGTTTGACAATGCATATTTGTTATAAGGGTTTTCCTTTTTTCAGTGAGGGGGGCATCGGTGGCTAACAAAGGTGGGAGGAAGAGGAGAGCAGTAACATGGTTGGCAAAAAAGTGAAAAAAAAAACAGGGTCATTAAGGCATCTTTTAAATGCATAGGAGAAAACAGAAGAAGTCCAGAAGTAAACATAAACAAGAAAGACAGTTTTGAAAATATGTTGAATTTATCATATACTTAAAAGGGAAAGCAAACTGTGTTAGAGATTTGCAATTTAACATAGAATCCTCTTTTCCTGTTTTTACTTTATATATGGATATGCTTGTTTTAATTGGCAAATTCAGAATTTTTAAGTCTTTTACAAAAAAACAAACTGAGGCTCTGTTTTGGGGATGTTAAAATATCTGCCAGCAAGACAGCCGAATGAAATGTTAGGAGTACAGTGATATATTGAATGTGACAAAAATAAAAAGGCATCAATTAAACAAACAAAAAGGTTCTAATCAAATCCACCATTTATACATACACTTCAAAAAAAAACTGCATCAAATTAAGTAAAAGAATAATAATCAACAGAGAAGAAACAAAAAATTGTGACCAGGTAGCTCCCACAGAAAATTGAAAGTTAAAAAAATACTTCAAAAAAGCAAAGGCTTTGCTGTTACTGTGGTGACTTTTTTTGAGGGAGGAGGGGTTAGTCATCATTATCCTATTAATTTTTTTTTTCCTCAAATCAAGGCAGGATGGAGTTCAGATGAACTGAGTATAAAGGAGCCTTTCATTACAACCCAGATTTGAATTTAAAAAAAAAAAAACCCAATCAAATCCAGTAGCTTATACACTTCAAAAAATTAAGAAGTGCATCAAATTAAGTAAAAGAATAACAATCAACATGGAAGAAAGGAAAAATTGTGGCAAGGCAGCTTCCACAGAAAATTAAAAGTTAAAAAAAAATATTTCCAAACAGTAAAGGCTAGACACTATCTGTCTCAGAGTAGAGAATGGAGAAATGACCAAGCAAAAGAAATCTTCTAATCATATGAATAAATATTATAAGATAAAAAGAATTCCAGGGCAAAAAGAGAAATGAATTCTACAATCACATCACAAAACATGAAATTTTCACAAGGACTCCAAAAGTGGTTAAAAAGCTAAAAGAACAAAAAAAGAAAAAGAAAAATAGTGAAACAGCCTGGAAGAAAAGCCAACGAAGTCTCAACACAGCAATAAATATTCTTTAAAAATAAAAAAAAATTTTTAAAGGAAAGTTAAAAATTCAATGATACAACAATATAGTAGCAAAATCAAAACAGAAAAATTAGAAAAACATTAATATATCTACCACCAAAAAAATAACCTGGAAAATGGAACATGAAGAAATAATCTATGAATCAACAAGAAGCATGATTTTTTAAATCAGTAACATTTCAATTAATCAATTTTATTTATTAAGCATCTACCATGTGCCAAGTACATGTACTAGGGATACAAATACAAAGAACAAAACACTAAGTTATTCAATAAAAGAAGACTGCTCAAGAATATTAGAACCAACGACTGACAGAATCATCAGGTTACCACCACAGAGAAAATTCAATTATGAAACAACCAGAAATGTGATTGCTAAAGATCAGGACTATTAAATCAAAGAAAAAAATATCACAAGCAGCTAAGAAGAGACATGTCACATCATTGATTCTGGTCCCAATCATTTACGATTTATACATCAACCATAAGAAAGGAAAAAATATCAATGAATCACAGAGAACATCAAATCCATCCTTTTATAGATGAGGAGACTGAGGATGAGAGAGGTTAAGTGATTTGTTTATACTATGACTATGCTACACATCTAGTAAGTGTCTAAAGGAAAATTTGAACTCAAGATCTAACTCCAGGGGCAGCTAGGTGGCGAAGTGGATAGAGCACCGGCCCTGAAGTCAGGAGGACCTGAGTTCAAATCTGGCCTCACATCAAACACTTGACATTTACTAGCCATGTGACCCTGGGCAAGTCACTTAACCTCAATTGCTTTAAAAAAAAAAAAACAAGGAGAAGAAGAAGAAGATCTAACTCCAAACCTATTACTATATCTGCACCCACCAAACTGCCTCAAATAATGAAACAAGAAATACTGAAAGGTGAAGAAACATGCTTTGCCAAGAATAACATCCTGCAAATGTGAGCATATGTCTATAGGGAAAAAAATGGATTTTCTAACAGAATCACTGATGGAAAAGCAAATAAATCTGAATTAAAAAAAAGGGATAAGTGATGATCAAGTGCATATAAACTGAAATGGAGAGAAGAGACTGTCTCTAAGCATTTGAGGTAAAAGTTACACCTTGTGACTTTGTTTAGCCAGGCCTCTTGCCAACCTTTCTTTACACTCATTTTGTACTCTATTACTTTCTATTGTTTTATGAGGTAATACTACTTATAATCTTCCATTATGCTTTTATTATCCTTGCATTATCATATAAACTAGTGTGGGCACTGACTGCCATAACTCTGCTCGGCATATCCAGTATTTCTGGGATTTAACTCAGCTCTCAACTTAATGCTATTATTGAAACAATGTAAATAAGGGCTGCCTCAATGCTTAAATGGGTTAAAGGAACCCATTATAGAAAGGCAACTAGATGGCACACTGGATCGAGAAGGCAAAAAATACAAAATCCACTACAAATGTGAAATCAGGCAAAATTTCTGCATTAGCCATATTACCCCACCCCTTCCAAAGAGAAAAGTTGGGTGGGGGTGGGAGTGGAGGACAGAATGGGAAAGAGAAAGAATATACTTCATTCTGTTTCCTTTAGTTCTCTAACCAGAAGTGGCTAGCAGGTTTCATCAGAAGTCCTTTGGAATGGTGGTGGGTTACTGTTTGATCAGAGTCACTAAGTCTTTCATAATTGATTATCTTTACAATATTGCCATCACTGTATACAATATTTTGGTTCTGCTCACTTCACTTTGCATCAGTTCATACATGTCTTCCCAGGTTTCTCTAAAACCATTTCCTTCATCATTACTTATAGCAAAATAAGATTCTATCACATTTATTTGCCATCACTCGTTGAGCCGTTCTGTAATTTTTGAGTATTCCCTCAGTTTCCAATTCTTTGCCAACACAAAAAGAGCTGCTATAAATGTCTGTACACATGCGTCCTTTTCTTTTTCTTTAATCTCTTTGGATTACAGACCTAATAGCAATATTACAAAAGTTATTTACAGCTTTATAGATTTCTGAGCATATATTTTACTGCTAGGATTTTTTAGTCTTCTCATTACAGCAATTGATTTACATTTTGGTAAAGTTTCTGTAGGGTAGCTTGGTGGTGCAGTGGATCGAATGCCAGGTCTGATGTCAGGATGACTCATTTTCCTGAGTTTGAATCTATCCTCAGACACTTACTAGCTGTATGACCCTGGGCAAGTCACTTAACCCTGTTTGCCTCAGTTTCCTCATCTATAAAGCGAGCTGGAGAAGGAGATGGCAAACCACTCTAGTATCTCTGCTAAGGAAACCCCAAATGGGGTCGCAAAGAGTTGGACACGACTAAACAACAAAATTCCAATAGTTAGGAACACATCATGAAATAAACCTATAACTATATGTATTTTTTATGCACACTTCCAATTGTAAAACAACTGAAATACAAAGTGTCTAACTGTTAAAGTGGAGTATAGAAGAAACCACCCAGAAAGAGCACTCCTCTTAAAATCTATACTGCTCTTTGGATTTACTTAGTCTTTCAGAATATAAAAATAAATCTGTACTTAAAGCGAATAGTTTCCCCACTTACTGTTGTATCTTTTTTCATTTTTTTTGCTGATACTTTTTTGCAAGAAGACGAGGAACCTGATCTGTGCTTAGCAATTCTCTTTTGATCCATAAAGACTTCACTTATCTTCTCTTCCTCTTCCCGTTTCACCCCATTATCATCTTCTGAGTTTGAATCAGAATATTCACTTTCAGTGTCAGAGGGTAAGGTAGAAACTAGGACCAAAAACAGCAACGTATGATTTGTGACAATACCAGTAGAAAAGAACAGCAGTTTCATGTTTGTCCTTTTTATCCCCAGCACCGAGCACAGTGCCTGACATACAGCAGACCCTTAATCGATGCTTTCTCATTTTTCAAAAGCACAAGCCTAAACAATTCACTCCCCTGCTCAATAAAGTCCCACGGCTCCCCCACTGCCTCTAATAAACATCAGGTACAAAGAGGCATTTAAAGCCTCTCATAACCTGGCTCCGACAGACCTTTCCAATCTTATTTTATATTACTTCTCTTCACACTCTCTGGTTGAGGCAAACTAACCTTACTGCTTATCACATGACACTTATTTTCCTAGGCCTACAATGCATCTCTCAGAAGCCCTAATTTCTTTGAAAGCTCAGCTCAGATGCCATATTCTACATGAAGTCTCCCCTTGACTCCTCCAGCCCCTCCCAACTGTTAATGCCTTCCCCTGCACTCCCCATATTACTTCCTGTTTATTTCGTATATATTTCTGTTGTCTCCCCACATGGAGTGTTATGAACTTGAGGACAGAACTGTTTCATTTTTTTTCCTTTTTAATGTCCAGAGCCTGGTAAAATGTGTGGCTCACAACAGGCACTTAATAAATGCTTGTTGATCGAACACATCAATTATGGAGAAGAGTAAACAAATAACAGATATATATACAAAAAAGCTTGTTAGGCTTATACTGTATGTTAAAATGGATTTTAATGGATAGAGCACTGGCTTTGGAATCAGGAGGACCTGAGTTCAAATCTGGCCTCAGACATTTACTAGCTGTGTGACCCTGGGCAAGTCACTTAACCTTGATTGCTAAAAAAAAAAAGGAAAAAAACCATTTAAATAGCAACAGCTAAAAATCAAGGACCAGTTATTTCACTGGTGTGATAAAATTTGATAGGTGCAAATGTAAAAAAAATTTTTAATTAAAAATTTTTTTTTTAAAAAAAGCAAAAACCATAGTTGCAAATGTATCTTTGATTTTCCTATGGTTTAAAGTCAAGTACTCAATAAACTTTTTTAAAAAATAAATTTGTGGTGATTCCTTAGAAGTATATATTATTATCCAGGAGAAGTCAGGAGATAAGCTTTCTTTCTTTTCTTTTTTTTTTTTTAAGGCAATTGGGGTTAAGTGACTTGCCCAGGGTCACGGGGCTAGTAAATGTCAAGTGTTTGATGTGAGCCCGGATTTGAACTCAGGTCCTCCTGACTTCAGGGCTGGTGCCCTATCCACTGCGCCACCTAGCTGCCCCAAGCTTTCATTTTTAAAAAACATATTATCCCCCAATTAATATGTTGCGCTCAATGGATATCCTTCAAAATATTGCCCATCTTTACTATATGAGAGGGAGAAAGAGCAAGATACACTTCAAGGTGAAGAGGATGGAACTCTGGATACCCTTTCCCTGAGTTTAAGACAGCATTGGATAAGGAAGAAAAAGATGTAGAATGTTTTGGCCAGAAATAAAAGTAATACATCTAAATTTTTATATGGGATGAGAATATTGAAACATTCAGGACTAACTTTATATGGTATTTAAAAGGATAATACTGATAATCCTATTAAATTCCATAGCTCAAAATGAGACTGCTATAGCACAAAACCTTGAAATCTAAGGTCTAGCAGGAGGTAAAGGCCCCAAACATTCCACTATTTTACAGTTTTTAGTCATACAATGTTCATAGTTTTAGAAAAATCATTTCAGATATGAAACGCAGCTTAAACTCATTATTTTCCAAAACAACTTTCACTATCTTTCTCTCCAAAACCTCCCTAACTCTTACCTTACCAATTATGATGGGCAACACTCTCCTTCCAGTGCCTCAGGGCCATGACCTAGGAGTTACCCTGGACTTCTCCCTTTCACATGCAAGCTGCTGCCAAGGCCTATTGATTTCACTTCCACAACATCTCTCAAATGTGCCCCCTTCTCTCCTGATACTGCCACCCCGCTGGTGCAGGCCCTCATTATGTCATGTACTAACTATCGCAACAGCCACTGGTGGGTCTCCCTGCCTCAAGTCTCTCCCCCCTGCAGTCCCCAATCCATTCAGCCACTAATGTGATTTTCTGCAAGTACAGGTCAGAACATGTCACCCCCTCTACTTAATATACTCTGGTGATTCCCTATTGCCTCCAGGAACAAATTCAAAACATTCTGTTTGACATTCAAAGGCTTTCATAACAGGTGCCATCCTACCTTTCCAGTATTCTTACACCTTACTCTCAAGATACGTAATTTTCAATCCAGTGACAATGGCCTCCTGCATCTCTCAGCTCTGAGCATCTTCTCTGGCTGTCCCCCATGACTAGAACACTCTCCCTCCTCCATTCCAACTACAGATCACCCTGGCTTCTACTAAGTTCCAACTAAAATCCCATCCTCTCCAGCAATCCTTCCCCATCCCCCCCTTAATTCCAATGTTTTCCAATTCTGTTAATTATTTCCTACTTATCCTGCACAATATTGCTTACTTTGTATATATTTGTTTGTATGTTGTCTCCCTCATTGAAGTATAAGCTCCTTGAAGGCAAGGAATGTTCTTTTTCTTTTTTTTGTATTCCAGAGTTTAGCACATAGAGTAGGCACTTAATTAATGTATTTGATTGACTGAGTGATAAAATGCTTTCCAGAGAGCAGAAATGATATCTATTCATTTTGTTTCATCTCCCACCTGGCAGTACTCCTCTGGACTTTAGCATACCCCAGGAACCTCATCATCCAGCAGTCACATCACCCCTGTAACATAGATCTAAATATGAACTCCGGCCCCTGGAACCCCTATGATTTGAAGAGCTGAGGGAACGGAGCAGAGAGTTCCTTCTCATTCCTTCATCTGAGGAGGGTGCCCAGGCCAGCCATCTCTTCCTTTCCTGCCTAGCCACACAGGGTGCCCTTCTTGTCCCTAATCTTCCTCTCCTCTTTTTACCTTCCTTTCATGTGTTATGTCCCCTATCTGAGTTCCTCAAGGGCAAGAACTATCTTTTGCCTTTTTTTGTATCCCTAGCACTTGACACTATGCCTAACACATAGTAAGCTCTCAATCAGTGTTCACTGACCAGCAAACAGTATTCAGTGTAACACATGAGTGTTTAACAAGCAACTTAGTGACACATCATCTATATAAAACAATGGCATTGTTGTCAAAATGAACAGACTAAAAGCCACTATAATTTACTCGATTATCAGTAACAAACTCATTGATGTTTATGTTCAAGGAACTATGCTATACTGAGGTCACCATGCTATATTCCGGGGATACAAAAATTGTATGAGATGATTCCTATTCTCAAGAACCTTGTCTTTAGGGAGCTAGGTGGTGCAGTGGATAGAGCACCAGCCCTAAAGTCATGAGGACCTGAGTTCAAATCCAGCCTCAGACCAAACACTTGACACTTACTAGCTGTGTGACCCTGGACAAGTCACTTACCCCCAATCGCCTTAAAAAAAAAAAAAGAAGCTTGTCTTCTATTCAGGGAGGTAGGAAACACATAAACAAAAAGATAAATGATAATACAAGGTAGCATATGATAAGGACAAAATAAGGGATACAGTCAGTCAATAAACATTTATTAAGCAGCTACTATGTGCCAGGCATTGTGCTAAGCACTTGGGGGTTAGATAAGAAAAAGAAAAGAAAGCCAGTCGGTCCCTATTCTCAAAGAGCTTATAATCTAATGGGGGAAACACATGAAAAGGAAGCTGAAAAATGGGGTGGGGAAATAGTAAAGAAGAAACAATATACAAGAGGAATAAAAGGTTAGCTGATGCAATATTTCTAGAGGAAATGGTACCTGAGCTGTAACCTATCAATGTTAACTGTATTCTTATACAGTTATACAAAGTATACAAATTTATACAAAGTACATACCTGTCAGCCTTTTCCTTAGTCTGTAAGGTGTTGAAAGAAATTCGTTCTTCTCATCACTCTATAATATTAGGATAGGAAAAAAAGGATATTTGTCACACAGTCCATAAACAAGCAAAATCTTGATAGTTAAAACTATAAGAGAGAAAGTTATTTTCTCCCTGAATAAAAAGGCAGAATAGTAAAAACAGCTCACATTTATGTAGCCTTTTACAGTAAGGAAACAATACATGTGGCCCCCAGAAAAGAAAAGAATCATAACTTCTTTAAGAATACAAAATCCCAGAAAATTGGAGGAGACTGACTGAAGATGACACTACATATAACACGGGAGAGAGATGGGAAAGGAAGAGACAAAATGGAAAAGCAAAACAATACCCTTAAGGTTCCATTTGGGATAGATTACAGTAATACTTAGATACTAAAGCAAAGAGCATTAGAAAATTATGTTTTAATAAGATGAAATGCAAGTCCACTTGAGGGCTAGAGAAAAGGGGAGCCACAAAGGAAGCTTGCTAACTCTGTCCAAAAAATTTCCTTTGCTTTTTTTTTCTTTAGGTGAGGCAATCTGAGTTAAGTGACTTGCACAGGGTCACACAGCTAGTATGTGTCAAGTGTCTGAGGCTGGATTTGAACTCGGGTCATCCAGAGCTCTGTCCACTGTGCCACCTAGCTGCCCCCTGTCCAAAAAGGTTCCATACTGGCACAACCCTCTGGTATGACTAAACACCTTTAAAAGTTGAACTTCTTACTACTGTGCTATAAGAAATGATGAACAGGAGACTTCAGAAAAACTTGGAAAGACTTGTATGGTCTGATGCTGAGTGAAGTGAGCAGAACCAAGAGAACGTTGTACACAGTAACAGCCACACTGTGCAATGACTAATACTGATACTTACTCCTTCTCAGCAATACAAAGATCTAAGACATCTCCAAAAGTCTCATGATGGAAAATGCTATCGACATCCAAAGAAAGAACTATGGTGTTTGAATAAATATCGAAGCCTATGTTTTTTCTTCTTCTGTGGCATTTTGTTTCCTCTTTCTGATGGTTCCTCCTATTGGTTCTAATTCTTACTTACAACATCAATAATGTGAAAATATGTTTAATAGAAATGTGTGTGTGTATATATATATATAATACATATATATATAAAATACATATATACATATATATATATATAAAATACATATATATATATATAAAATACATACATATATATATATCTCCTATATCAGATTGCGAGCTGACTTGGGGAAGGAGGTAGGGAGGGAGGGGGACAAAAATTTAAAACTCAAAAGCTTATGGAAGTGATGGTTGATAAATCAAAATAAAATAATTTTTAAAAAAAAGTTGTACTTCTTAAAGATCTAACCACTCTCAGGGCAGCTAGGTGGCGCAGTGGATAGAGCACCGGCCCTGGATTCAGGAGGACCTGAGTTCAAATCCGGCCTCAGACACATAACACTAGCTGTGTGACCCTGGGCAAGTCACTTAACCCCATTGCTTAGCCAAAAATAAAATAAAATAAAAAAAGACCTAACCACTCTCCAAGAAAGCTGAAATCCAAATCAGTTTTACTACTACTCAATGATACTGGCAGTTTGGATTAACCCTTGCAGTTCCCAGATTTGATCCTGGGATTCTGACTGACCTTACATTAACTAATTAATAACAAATTCAAATTGGGATTTCATTTTCTTATTCTTGTTTTAAAATTCTTAGTAACCATAAGCAAAACTAAAGCAAATGTTCTCAGTAGTTTGTGATTCTTTTCTAGTACTTTAAAGTTTGAGATAGCATGGTACAGAAAGTAATCTCATGAAGACCTGGATTCAAATCTTTGCTCTGATACTTATTTATCTTTCTATTTCAGATTATTAAGACTTATCTACAAAGTCACAGAAGGCCATGATCTAAGAATTTTCCACACCTATAAAAATCAGAGATCCTTAAAATAATGACTTTAAAATACTTAATGTTAATTCTATTGGTAGCTTTAATATCTTTTATTCTAAACTATTTTATAGCATTGGAATTTTATTATCCCATGCTCTCCCTACCTTTTATTTTAGCCATGAAGCTTTTTCACTCTTAATGCTTTTATATTTCTAATTACTTTTTCTTAATGAAAACTTTCATTTGAATTTTAAAAAAAAAGTTTGTCCATATCTAGCTACATTTTCTTTTGCCAAAATTTTGGCCACAGTATCTTCAATCACTCCATCAATAAGCTGTGGCCAGGTAAAGCCAAGATGGCAGAGTGAGAGAAGGTGCTTCTCTCCATAAGCTCCAAAAGAACTCCTTAAAAAATAAAATGAGGGGCAGCTAGGTGGTGCAGTGGAGAGAGCACCAGCTCAGGACTCAGGAGGACCCAATTTCAAATATGGCCTCAGACACATAACACTTACTAGCTGGGTGACCCTGGGCGACTCACTTAACCCCACTGCCTAGCCAAAAATAAATAAATAAATAGATGAAAAATGGGCCAAATGGAAAAGGAGGTACAAAATCTAATACAAGAAAATAATTTGTTAAAAATTAGAATTGGGGTGGGGGTGGAGCCAAGATGGCGGAGTGAAAAATTAGAATTGGGAAAGGGGAAGCTAGTAACTCTATGAGAGAGTGAGAATAAGTCAAACAGAAATAAAAGAATGGAAAAATACATGAAAATGTAAAATACCTTATTGGAAAAACAAGTGACCTGGAAAATAGATTCAGGACAGACAATTTAAAAATTATTGGTCTACCTGAAAATCACAATGAAAAAAAGAGCCTGGACAGCATCTTTCAGGAAATCATCAAGGACAACTGCCTGAGGTCCTGGAACCAGAGGATAAAATAACCACAGAAAGAATCCACCAATCACTTCCTGAAACAGACCTCAAATTGAAAATGCCAAGGAATGTAGTAGCCAAATTCCAAAATTACCAGGTCAAAGAGAAAATACTGCAAGCATCCAGAAAGAAATAATTTAAATATCATGGAACCATAGTCAGGATTACACAGGATCTTGCAGCTTCTACATTAAAAGATGGTAGGGCATGAAATACGATATTCCAAAAGGCAAAGGAGCTTGGATTACAACCAAGGATCAACTACCCAGAGAAAATGAGCATAATCTTTCAGGGGAGGAGACAAACATTCAACGAAATAGGGGACTTCCAAACCTTCCTAATAAAAAGACCAGAGCTCAACAGAAAATTTGATCTTCAAATGTAAGACTCAAAAGAGACATAAAAAGGCAAACAGGACAGAAAAAACAACAACAACATATTAATAAGGGCAAACTGTTTACATCTCTATCAGGGAAGATGACACCTGTAAATCTTGAGAACTGTATTGTTATTACATCATTTTAAAGGGGTACACATAGAGGGGGTGGGTATAAATTGAGTTTGATGTAATAATTTTTAAAAATCTAATTAAGTGAGTTAAATGGATCTAAGTAAGTGGATTAATTGGATCTAATTAAGGGACTGTACTGGAAGAAAAGGAAAGGAGGAGGCAGACAAGGGTAAATGATATTACAGGAAAAGGCACAAAAACCTATTACAATAGAGGGAAAGAAAGGAGAGAGATGAGCATGGTTTGAACCTTACTCTCATCAAATTTGGCTCAAGGAGAGAATAACATAATCAGTTAGGTATAAAAAGCTAACTTGCCCTATAGGCAGAAGGAGGGGAAAGCAGAAAGAAATGGGAGAGGGGATTAGAAGGGAAGGAAGAAGTAGTAAGGATAAAGGGAAAGAAAAGGGAAAGAGCTAACAAAAGGGAGGCAGGACTGAGAGAGGCAGTGGTCAAAAACAAAACACTAGTGAGGAGGGAAAGGTAGAAAGGAGAAGAAAAGCATAAACAGGGGGGAAATAGCATGGAGAGAAAGACACAGATAGTAATCATAACTGTGAATGTGAATGGGATGAACGCTCCCATAAAGCTGAAGTGGATAGCAGAACAGATTAAAAACCATAATCTACAATATGCTGTTTGCAGGAAACATTTGAAACATAGGAACACACACAGGGTAAAGGTAAAAAGGCTGGAGTAGAATATATTATGATTCAGCTTAAGTAAAAAAAACAAAAGTAGGGAGCAAAAGCAAATATAGATCTTATCAAAAGAGATAAGGAAGGAAACTACATCCTGCTAAAAGGCACCACAGACAATGAAATAATATTACTAAACATATATGCACCAAGTGGCATAGCATCCAAATTCTTAGAGAAGTTTAGGAGTTACAGGAAGCAACAATAGCAAAACTATACTAGTAGGGGACCTCAACCTCCCCCTCTCTAAACTAGAGAAATCTAACCACAAAACAAATAAGAAAGAAGTTAAAGAGGTGAATAGAATTTTAGAAAAGTTAGATACGGTAGACCTCTGGAGAAAACTGAATGGTGATAGAAAGGAATATGCTTTTTTCTCGGCGGTACATGGCACATATACCAAAATTGACCATGTACTAGGGCATAAAAACCTCACAATACAATGCAGAAAGGCAGAAATATTAAATACATCCTTTTCAGAACATGATGCAATAAAAATTATATGTAATAAAGGGCCATGGAAAGATACATTTAAAAATAATTGGAAACTAAATAATCTAATCCTAAAGAATGAATGAGTCAAACATCAAATCATAGAAACAATCAATAACTTCATTGAAGAGAATGACAATAATGAGACAACATACCAAAACTTATGGGATGCAGCTAAAGCAGTTCTTAGGGTATTATATCTCCAAATGCTTACATAAATAAAATACATAAAGAGGAGATCAATGAATTGGGCATGCAACTAAAAAAATTAGAAAAAGAACAAATTAAAAATGCTCAATTAAATACCAAATTAGAAATACTGAAAACCAAAGGAGAGATTAATAAAATTGAAATTAAGAAAACTATGGAACTAATAAATAAAACTAAGAGTTGCTTTTATGGAAAAAAAAACAGTAAAATAGATAAACCTTTAGTTAATTTAATTAAAAAAAGAAAGAAGAAAATCAAATTACCAATATCAAAAATGAAAAGGGTGAATCCATCACCAATGAAGAACAATAAT